CCTTTTGACATCAACTCCAATTAGTACTGCAGCTCTGAGGGGTCCGCATAATCGGTAACCGTCGCAGCCAAATAGAAGCACATACAGTTATCCAGAGCCCGCATGAGGGTTAACAGCTCTTGGTCGTATACTGCATTGCACTGCTTAGAAGCAGACATCTCGGTACTCACGAAAGCCGGCAGCTTCTCATTCTACTTCATTATTTTATCCACTGCATTCTCTCATGCATCTTTCGACAAAAGATAAGGCTTTTCGGTCTGGAGTCCGCAAAGTCGTGAAGTGGAAGAGACTGTGCTCTAAGATCATCACCGTTGTTGCGTGCGTCTCGGTCCACTAGAGCTTCACCCCCTTTCCTGTGAGCTCCACAAGGGCCTAGCTAAATCTGCAAGTGCTGGCTCCCCACGGCAGTCACCCACATTGTCGAGGAACTTATTCAATAAGGAGCAATAAGGAGCCATTGTGAAGCATCCTTGAAAATATTTCGATAGCCTCGATCTTTGACGGCCTAGGTGCTATTCCGTCTGCTGCAATCATGTAGCAGGAGAGCTCAATTAGGAAGTTATAAAATTGGCGATTTCGAGCTTTGGACATATTTTTGTAGGCGCGTGAAATGTCCAGCACCTATCCCAACAGCTTGACGTCAGAAGCTTCGTTTTGCGCTGTAGAGCAAGACGTCCTCTTGGTAAACAATTACTCTTCTGTCGGTATAGGGCACGTACATTTAATTTACTATTGCTTGAATGCGCTTAGAGCTCATCAGAGGCCGAGGGGCACGACCTTGATTTCAAATTGGCTTCTGTAATACGGATCGTGGTATCTAACTGCTCCTCCGGTGGTGGGCGTGTTTGGTGCTAAATTTTTTTTATTCGTCTTCGTATATATCTTAGCCCCACAGAACATGTCAAGTATCTTCTTAATCACGGGTATTAGTTACCGGGAGTGAATGCCCACGGCGTCGAATTTCTCGCTATCAATCACTTCACAATATTGCTGCTTGCCCGATGCTGCATTTGCCTTGGCCACGCCCCTGGATGGTGAAGTGGAGAAGAGATGTAAGGCACCGCTACTCATTTGTCCTTCAGGACGTGCAGTACCCTTCTTTGTGATTCAACCACTTCGGTAATCAGCCGTTCACATTGTGCCTATGCTTGGTTTGCAAGCACCAGCGTGAGTGTATGACTGATGAGCGCCTCAGTGGACCAGCCTGAGGGTAACTCATTCGGAGACAAGTGGCGGTAAAGGCGGAAGGTTTTCTTCATTGGTCATGAGTAATTTGTCCTCTTTCTTAATTGCTATCCTTCAAGAGCCAAAAGCTTGCCCCACAGGCCGGCCTTACACTGCAGACATCCTCAGCTCCTGCCTTCTCCGTAAACTCTTGGATTCCATGTTCCAGTGCAGGCTGTTGTGTTGCCCCAAAGCGTCAATCCACAGGTACATCTGCCACTGCCATCTTTCGCAGCCTAATCATTCTTAACGGTCATGACGAGGCTGAGCTGAGGCAATAGGTTTGCTCCTATGACTTCCGCTGCCGCTATCAAATCACCCTTCGTATTGAAACGATCTTGCAACGATTATTGGACGCATTTTGCCACGTGGAAGCAGAGTGTAGGAGGCTCGCCGTTTGCTTTGCGCCAATCCTTTCCGCTTGTCTCTGTGCATCAGCTGCTATGTACAGTGTCTCGCGGCCGCCGTAGTCTTTGCAAAGTAGCCAGTTGGTAAACCCTTCTCTCCAAATCTGCAACGGTTGCTCTCTCAACTCCCACACGGCTCGACTTCATGAGGGTCAGCAGGGTTAAGGATTATTGTGTGCGGCACCTGGGCAACTAAGTGGCTGTAGTGGCTCTGGGAGCTATCTCATAAGAATGCAATAGACTCAGCAGCAAAATTCATAGCAGAGTTTTCCGCGGAAGTAGCACGAAAGTAAATGCTATGGTGGAAGTTGATGGTGTCTGGTGCCAAATCCCTGATCAGGCTTGGTGTCAGAAACGACTTGCTGGAGCCCGTGCTCACCACGGTTTAAATGCTTGGTGCTGCACTGCACCATGCTATTGAGCACGCGCATTCGTCCTTCGGAACCTAAAGCGACTGAGAATTATTAAGAACGGTATTCTTGCATCAAATATATCAGCGCATCGCCCCTATGACGGAGGACCAAGGTCTTGTTGTGCCTGCCTTTTGAGAAGTGCACTGTCAACGCCGGCCTTCAAACATTTTCATCGTCTGCAGCCTCATGCTATCAAGAATCTGAAGTCTGGTCGTGTACACAACCTCCTCGCTGTTAGTCCGCTCTATATCACCCTTTTCATGGTTTCCTTGCTGTGAACCGTCTGCCTGCTATCTGTGTGGTCTCTCGCCAAATTACATGCTCCATCGATATCTGGTTATAAACGAATCTCTGCTCATTCATGCGTAGTCTTGCGCTGTTGTTGGCACATTATTGCTGCTTATGTAGTCTCTCTTCATGGCTCAGTCTGCCTTTTCCAAGATTGCACTTTCATAAATAACCATGCCCTTTTCTTGTTCCCTCAAGGCTCTGTAGACCACACGTTGCTGGCGTCTTTTTCCTCTGCAGAAAACATCCCTCTGGTGATAGTCTATGTCCTGTGTCTCCAGACCGGCCGAAAGATTTAAAGAAATAGTGGGCTCGCGTGCTGCATTATCCTCGGAGAGGGGATCACGAATGCATGAATTGAGGACACCTACTTGTTTGAAGTCAGACCATGGCCCTTCTTCAGTCCCACACTGTCGAAGTGCTTTTTCCATCAGTTTCTTTGTTCAATCCCAGCACAGATGACTGGCGTCTCCTTCGCTTGTAAATGGGCCAGCTAACTTGCTAGTCTCGGTACTAATCTGCTCGCTTGTTACAGTGCCCTGTGGCTTAGTGTATACTTTTGTCTATCGGCATGTTGTAGGCCACTTTTACCTTGCCTTTTGCTTTGCCTTATTAGGTCGTTCAAGCCGAAGACGTCTTCTATACTTGGCTGCTGCTGTGCTTGAGGAGATATGTAGCTTCAGAATCAGGACAAACTGGTTGAAAATTTATCCAGGGCTATTTAAAAGGAACTCCCTTCATTCATTGCCCGCTTTCCTCAGCTCTCCCAATATGAGAGGCACCGGGCAGTTAGGATGCGCTAAGTTGCATCCTTTAAGCACTTTGGGCACTTGCATTTAGGTACATATACTATCTAGTGCACACGCACACCACACTTACGTCTCCTTGTAGCAAGCTGACAGTGCTCTGCATTATATTTGGTTTTCGAACAGACAACCGGATTCGCCTATTCTTTGCTGATCATTCATTTTTAAAAAACTAAGGTAGTAAAAATTGTAAAAGTGTAGCTTTAGCTCGCTACCTCAGAGTGCTTGGATGGTACAGATACACGCGACCTAACTGTCCTTACACCCTAATGTCAGTAATCCTGGGGACCAAAGGAATGGAAAGAGGGGAGCTCTCTTTCTAGAAAACTTAGTACCTTGCTATTTAGTTTGTATTATATGAGGGTTAAAGCCCTCCCTGTAGAGGCCTTAAACAAGTTTTTACACTCGCCCTCCTTTCTCTCCCATGCCAGACCTCTGAGGGGCTCGAGCATGACGTAGGGAAATTTCGTATGTAAACGCACATTAAAAGATTTTCATCAGGCTCTAATGGAGCCTGGATTCAAAAGGATCCCCCTGCGGTGGTCCAAATTAGAGCGTTACAGGTTTAGCATAGAGACGCACGGTTGAGTCCTACAATACGGGAATATTCCGCTGAGCAACGTATGGAATAGGTGAACAGCCAGATCACGCAGTCTTTGATTGAACGTAAATCAAATAGACTAAGTTTTTGCTGTGCAAATGTATCTAGAAGTAGGTACCGCCTTTGCGTTTAGCCACAATGAATGTGCTCGAATGGGGTGGAGACATCCCTACTGTGCAGAAACCACGGTATATAAAGGCCTTTACTCACGCAATCAGTATTAAGTGATCCAGAAATAAATATATATGATGCAGGAGAGACACCTTGAGCGTAGTGGGGGATGCTACAATGGTGGTTCGTAGAATGAGGGAACTCTCCTACCTATGGGGCCCCAAAGGCGTGCACTGAGCCTCCGGCGACTGCAGAGTGGTGGGGTCATTTGCCAGGATGAGGCGCTGCCCATATACGCGATTTTGGAGGCACTGCGACTGGAGGCTTGGGCTGTAGCGTCTTGCCAACACCTGTCTGCATGGCGGCAAACCCCTGATGTGTGCCCCCTGCCTCTTGAACTTTCTAGTGGCCCCTTCAAATCTAGTTCTGTTAACAATTTATTTTCTATTGGACGCAAAACGGCGCAGCGCAGCCATAAATGTGGCTTCTGCCGTAGGCTGCTGTGGTGTTTTTCTCCAGCGGCAGCAAGCCGGCAGCCATTGCCGGGGCTGAGGGGCCCTCCGTAGCCGAATCCGTCGTCGAGAGGCTTGTGAGATGAAATGACGATGTTGCGGTGTACAGATACTGCAACGTTGTGGCTAGTTGTGAATCGCTTAATGCTGTAAGCTCTTCGTACACCCCAAGCCCGTAGGGCTGCTGCTGCCCCTCATTGGCCCTTGAAGTTTTGCCTCTTAATTTTCTCCCTTGAATACGTTCTAGAGGAAAGTAATTTAATCCGTACTTGTACGTAGACAACCCGCGTTGGAAAGGAAAACCGCCGCAAGGTTCAGAAGCTGCATGCGCAGGGGCCCTGAGGTGTACAGACGGAGATCGAATCGAAGCCCTCTGATTCAAAGGCTGAACAAGGACGAGGATTTGCTGATGCATAGTTGCGGGCACCGAGACAGCGGCAGAGGACTCATAAGCGAGATCGGAAAAGGGCTTCTGCAGCGTTTGAGCGGCCCCCAGCTTCAGGTTGTTTGATGCTGCATTTTGTCGTGTGACAGCGGAGGTCGCGATGCTGCAGCAGCAGCATCACTGTCTACGCAGGCAGCAGCAGCGGCAGCATCACTGCGATTAGCGACGGCAGCAGCAGCAAAAACTCATGAAGATGGAGGGTAACAAGGATGAGGCGGCCAAGTGTGTGGCCCTCGCAAAAAAGGCCATGTTGGCTGGAGACTTTTCAAAGGTGCGCCATCTTTCCCCGGGAGTCTAAGGCTGGTGCTGCAGCAGCACCAGCCTTAGACTCCGCTGCACGCACTGCTGGAGTTGCTGCAAGAAAGAGTAGCTGCTGCACATGTCTGCGAGCCACTGCACACAGTGCTTGTTCGGGGAGGCATCTATCATCCCCTGTTGAGGTCCTTGCGTTCGCTGTGGATGTGTGCACCGTATGCAGGCGCAGCGTCTGTTGGACAAGGCGCAGCGCATGTTTCCTTCTCCCGAGATTGAGTCTCTTGCTGCTGCCTGCGCGCACAAGCAGCACGGTGCATCAAACAGCACCAACGGCAGCAGCGAAACTGGGGCTCAAGCTTCGTCTGGCTCGCGCCAGCGGCGAGCTTCTCCGGGCGTCTCCCGCCCTTCGAACACATCTGCCTCGGCGCCTCATCTCACGAGATCGCGGAGTGCAGCGTCAGGGAGCTGCGCAGCAGCAGCAGGTGCTGCTGCTGCCCCTGCTCATACGCCTGAGCAAGCCAGGCTGTGTGAAGCTGTTTTACAGGAGAGCTGTTACTACAGGGTCCTTGGAGTCTCAAATGACGCCTCTGAGGAAGTTATCAAGAAAGCCTACCGACGGGTGGGGGGCTAAGGCTTTGTGGCTGTGTAATTGACAGCTATAGGGCTATTTCCCAAGAAAAGATGGCTCTTTTTAATCGCATTTTAGAGCCGCTGCACCACACATTAACGTTCTGGGGTGGATTGCCTGTGTCTCCTGCAGCTTGCGCTGCTGCTGCACCCCGACAAGAACAAAGCCCCCAAAGCAGAAGATGCATTTAAGAAGGTGAGGCATCTCAGAATGTAGGAGCGCGTGGAGGGCATAGCGGAACGGCTTCTTCCCTTCAATTTGCCTTTTTTCGTTTTATCTATTGTCTCGGAGGGGCCGCATTTACTCGGCTGCTACGTGCTCGCCGCTCGCCGGCCCCACCAAGGCATTGTCTACCGCCTCCTCCCCTCGGATCTGCATCTGCCACTGTTGCACAATGCTTGCGATCAGGTTAGCAAAGTCTCAGGCACCCTCCTGGACCCCAAAGAGCGGCGAGTCTACGATATGGGGGGCCCCCAAGCGGTGGAGGGGAGGGCGGAGCCTTACATGTATCGGGGAGACACCTCTCACCCCGATGTTATGACTGCAGAGGTTCGTCGCGACGTTCTGCCCTTTCTCCCCTTCTTTCCCACTGATGCTGCCGTCACTGCTGTTGTTGCCGCTGCTGCTAAGAGCAAGAGACGATGCTGTGCGGGTGCTGCGGCTGTTGCGCGCAGGATTTGTTCCGCGTTCTCTTTGGGCAGAGTCTCAGAGATCACGGCAGAGGGCATCATGGCAGGGGATCTCGCACCCAACAATACCACCAAGAGTGAGCTCTTTCTCTCTCTTTCTCAGCGTGTTGCGTGCGTGTTTGAACTTTAAAGCTTGAGCAGGTTTATTGTCTTTTTTTTGAGCGAAATCTGGGGACGGTGGGTGCGCTGTGTCCGCAGGAATGGCTTGCACACGTTTATTCAAGTGAGGCACGAATCACCTTTGGACGCAGGTGCCCATGCGTTTTCTCGGCTTTTCGTGATTAATTTTCAATCCAACCCTCACGTATTTCAATTGTGCTCTGCGGCTGCCCCTGGCCTTGCTTTCGGCGCGGCGTTAAAGGGCCTTCTGTGGGGGAGCGGAAGCGTTTGCCTGTCTCTTTGTGTATACATCTGGTAGTCTGGCTGGCTGTCCATACTTCTCTATCGTTGCCTGTGTGTCTCTATCTCTCTCTCTCTCGCATTTTCAGGGTGCATGTACATGTGTATTTATTCATGTGTATATGCATGTATGCATATGCGTGTATTGGCATGGATTTAGCTTGGCTGTTGCTAGGTTTGTGCTTCAGTTCTTGCCGATGTTGCTTTTATTTGTATTGATGTTCTTGTTTAACTTCGTCCCTCAAGAGGGGCAGTCTCCGGTACGTCCACATGGGGTGGGACCTTTCTGACCTTCTGTTGTCTCTTCTCTTCCACTCTGCCCTTTAATCTCAACTTTTATCTCCAAGGCACTTCCTAAAGGCGGGTGCTTTTCTCCTGTTTTTTGCGCTTTTACACTCTCGAAGTGTTCCCAAAGCCCTCGTCTGCCTTCTGCGACACCCGCCTTCCCCTTTCTGCTGTTTCTCTACTTCGGAGGCTAATTTGCATGCTTCTGGCTCCTTCCTCTCCCAGTGCATTTGCTTGATTATACGGAGTGCGACTGTTCGTTGCAGGCTGCCTATTACTCCTTCCGCCAGACTCGCGAGTTCCCCGTGCCCCGTATTACCCAGCTGCATTCCGTTCGCTACTATGTGGGAGACGGATTCATGAATGAGATTCTTCCACAACCAGACAAAGTCAGAGAGGTGCGATCACAAAGGTGTCTGCGGATGCGGTGCCACTTCCCCGTGAGATGCTTGCCTGTGCGCGCGAGGCTTCTGCTCATTTGTGCTCCGCTGTTGCGCGTGGTGCGCTGTGCAGTTGGAACGGAAAGTCGAGGTTCGGCATTACCAAGTCGTCTGCAGCTCGGAGAATGACAGGCTTAACAGGGACCTCACGACGGCGCATTACCACATGGCCTCCAGTAAGACGGATTCCAAGATTAAGAGCTGGAGGCTACTAGTCAAAGACTTCGAAATGCATGGCTCAGAGCATCGAGGTTGCGAAGATGTATAGCTTAGAGCACTTGATGTGCAATGCGTCCTGCTCGTGCTTCCGCAGATGAATCGATCAAGCGGCTTCTCGACCGCCCCAGGCCGGGATGCAAGAAGTTAGAACTGCTGCAGGTATTTTTTTCTTTTTTAATTCTGTTCTGTTTCTATTTTTCCTGCATCGTTCTCTCTTTGTTGGAGGTATGGTCTCTAATTCAAGTGCCTTCTACCAGAGAGGGCATCATGTCCGTTCAACTTCAACTCCGGGCAAACGAAGCAGCTCGAGGATGTCTACTTTCTGTATGTCTGCGCTGTTGCGGCACAGAGAGCTGCAGGCGGGGTGCAGCCCGACACCCAAGGGCCGTAGGTTTGGAGGCTCTGCACACAACATCCAAGAGGGGTCCTTGGAGGCTGCTAGCATGGGTGCAGCTAGTGCGGGGGGAGAGAAAGCGCAAGGAGCGCTCCTGTTCTCTGTAGTGTTCTTAGAGTGTTAGACGATTCATGGCACGACGGAGGCCTGCAGCAGCAGAGCGCCCCTCCATAATGTGCAGAGCTTGTTTCGATCAACCTGAGATATCCCATACCCATGGCGGCACTTTTTCCCTGGCTCCTAGACACCGCGTGGTTGAACAATAGTGTGCTGCTGAGACATGTGTACACCCCAGAGAGGTAATTGTTCGAATTGGCCAGTAGGCGTGTACCTTCAGTAGCGTATGTTCACACTGCTTGCTTGCCGTCGAGACTGCACGGCATGCGACTGGGAGACTGCGACGCGCAGCGGCCACCGATAGGAGTCCAGCTCGCGTGCGGTTCTGCGTGTGTCTGTGGCAACAATGGTAAAGCTATGGAAATTATTTGTGGGATATTTGTGCAACGACAGTCAGCACTCTAACTTTTTAGGGAAGCTCTCTTCCCGACTCTGCGTGTAGTGGCATACACTGCGTGTAGTGGCATACGTATCACACGAGACGCTGCTTTCTTCTGGCACGCTCGAAGACAGATAAGCGGGCAGAGGGAGCAGATCCATCCTACTTCAAGGGCAAACCCTCTATGTTGCCCCCTCTCGAACTAATAAACCAAAGTAATAACGACCGCTTGTTTCCCCAAGCACTGGGAGGTAGGGAGGGGATCTGCATAGAGGCCCTTGCAAGCCCCAAATCCCTTTGTGCATGCGTGTTTAAACGGTGTCTGTTGGACATCCGAGTTCACATACGGCGCCGTATGGGAAAATGGATCTCATGAAGACCTTGACACCCCAATACATCTTTAAGGCCGCCGTCATGTGTTGGGCTGTCGCGCATTGCAGTACAACTGTTACGGCGATACGGCGAGGTGGGTTTGATCACTTTAAGGGCGAGCTTTGTAGCCGTCGAGCACGGAGATTCGCGAATTATTTACTACAGAAGAAAGCGCGGGAGGAGCTTTTGTTCGTTTCGACCAGTAAAAGGAGGCCCCTTCCCCCTCCCGGAGCCCTCCCTCCAAAATGGCGATGTGCAGAAAAGGGAGAGAGGAAGCTCTTCACGTACATGAGGAACGCGGTGGGAGGGGAAGCTATGTGCCGTATTGCAGATATGAAGAGAGACGTGTACATGTACTGCGTGGTGTTCATGAGCCCCCTGTACCTCCTCCTCTGCATAGTCCTTCAACCTTCTCGCGGTCCTTCCCTCTTTTACCAGTGGTGCCTCTTTCCACGCTGCCTATCAGTCGTTTGCATACCGGGATGAGGCTGCTTCCTATATGCCTGTGGCTTTGGTTATTTATGACGCGTGTGCGCTTCTTCCCTTCGATTACAGCGTCCCTTTCTGCATGCGCCTCCTCTCCTCCGAGCAACTAGTTACTGGCCATGTTCTTTTCAGCAAATCTCTGGCCCAGCCTTGCGGAGAATTCCATGAATTTCCTCACGCAGGATCCAATGCAAGCCATCTCTTTGGAGTCCAAATCCTTTGCCCGGAACTCTCTTACGCATTCGTTGAAGCACCTCTCCACCAAAGAGTTGTATGTGTCCATGCTGTCTTTGAGCTGTAGACGATTCAACTCCGCCATCACCAGTGACCGCTCCTTCGCAGGCAGCTGCTCCAGCCCTGGAATGTTCGGCACTGCGGACATCTTGCAAAGTGGGAAGTGACAGGGAGTATTTCTGAGTTCGGGGAAGGCGCCGAAAGCATACGCCTCCGGCCTTGTGACGAGCAGCTGCTCTCAGGGGAGTGCAGTAATCCAAAAGGCACAGGGTACTTACTGGGGGAAAGCTGGGTGAAGGTGGGGCGCAAAAGGGAAGGAAAGCTTGCGTATCAGGAGGCAAGGACGAAGGAAAGACTAAACAAGAAGCACCTAGGGAAAAAAATGAAGCAAGGCGACAATTCGTGAAACCCTCGTACACTCCCGCTGGTGGGGGATAGCAGCCAGGGGGGAAAGCAAAACGAGCTGCCAAGGAACACAATGAACGGAAACAAAGGAGCGCCGAGAAAAATCATTCTTTAGGGCAAGTGAATGGGGGATCTGCCATTTAAGGGGCCCCTACCCGCAGTATCGGAATAACAACAGCTCACAAGCCCTTCTCCCTCCTCCTGGGGCCCCACACGTCGTAGCTGGGGGGCCCCTTTGCAAGCATGCATCTCTTTGCCTGTCCCTTTGCACGGCATATATTCTTTTCTTTGATTTCACGTTTGGCAGAGACGCCCGTTGTGTCGCTAGCAGCTGCGGCAGCCTTGCGGCAACGCTGGGGGAGTCCCTTCGCTCCCTGATGCGTGCTTTCGCGGAACCTTGCGCGAAACGCTCTCAACGTTTTTTCATAATTCGCCCCTTATACCCCCTCAGTGCGTATTTAGGCAGATCTGCAGCAGCTAATTCGCGGAGGCTTCGCCGAAGCAGCTGAGGGGCCCCCGTCCTGCCTCCGTCCTCTGGCGTGCAGATCACCCCCCTCTCCCCCTTTCCCGCCTCTCTTTTCTGGCATTTTTTTGAGACTCACCCGATGTCCAGAGAGGTAGAAGTTCCTCCCCACAATGAACATGCGCCTACTGAACAAGTAGGACGGCCTAGGGGCCCTCCCCAAGGGGACGGTGAGCCTCAGAGACGCTCTGATGGTCCCCAAGACACCAGGAACGGAAAGGATCCTCTCTCACAGCACAGCGCGAGTGCTGCCTCGACAGATAAAGCTCAACATGATGAGAGGAGCCAAGATCCTGGCACTGCGCCTCCACAATCCACGCCTCCACAGCCTCGAGGCGCCTCGCCGCGACAGCGTGTGGCCGTTCGCTTTATGCAGGGGAGGCGGGGGGTTCAGGAAGATCGGCATGTTGTGGTGTCTGACCTGCGGAGTCTACTGGAGAGTGAAGCGCAGACAGTTGTCGACTCGTGGGGATGCTCCTCGAGTGAGGCCTCTTACACTGCTCGTCTTCTTTGAAAGCTCGTTGAGATCCTGTTTCTCTCTGTGTGTCTTTGTCCCTCATCTCATGGGTTTCTCTGCCACGCACCTTCACCCGATGCTCGAAAATCCTTATGCAGGTGTTCTCAATCCCCTGCCAAGTCATGCACGCAGTATTTAGCGTCTCCTTCGCCGTGAGATGCACGGCACCAACATTTGAAATCCTCTCAAAACACGTTTTTTGTTGTTTCTGCAGCCTCGCTGGTTGCTCTTTTTGATGGGCATCGTGGAGTCTGCTGCTCGGACTTCTGCTCCTCTGTACTGCCCTCCAAACTCGCGGATCTCCTTACGCGAAAGCTTCCGCAGCAAGCAGCAGCAACTCCAGCGGCTGCGGCGAAGTCGAACACGGGATCGTCTCCCCCAGGATCGTCCGTAGGAGCTGAGGGGGCGGGCACCCCCGAAAAAGGAGGCCTCAAGAAGACTCAGGAGCTGCAGTGTAACGACTCGACAAGCGCATCGAGTCTCTTAGCCCCCCTTTCTGCTGCTTCCTTCTCCAGCCTCGCACCCCAAGGCTCCCCCCAAGACGCTTGTTTGTGCCCTTCTCTGAGGAATCTCCTCCCAGCCTTACCAGAAGGTCTCCAAGGACTGCTGCCTTCTCTCTACCACCGCCTCTTTTCCGTCTACAAGCAAACGGACAAGGAGTTTATCGCCAAGTACAAGACGAAGGCGAACGCGGGATGCACTGCAGTAGCCTTGCTTACTGTGGGGCCCCTCGCGGTTGTCTCTTGGGTGGGAGACTCGCGCGCTGTCGCAGGGGTGAAGAAGGCTCCCTCTCAGGCCTCCTCTCCGAAGATCTCCCTCGCAGGAGCTTCTGAGGATGCTAAAAAGGCTGCTGGAGAGGACGACTCTTCTGCGCTGGTGGCGGTGCGGCTGACAGAAGATCACAAACCGAGCAGGATCGATGAGAAGGCGAGGATAGAAAAGGCTGGGGGTCATGTGTTGATGGTGGGGGGAGTCGCTAGAGTGGCTCCAGCGGACTACGAGGTATGCAAACTTTGCCTTAGTTTCCGAGATCGCTTGTGTTAGCCTTCGCGTTGCTGCATTTTGTGGGGTACTGGTACTGCAGGCAGCGGTGCGGGCTTTGCTGCTGGTGTGGCTCGTGTTGCGGGTTGTGAGGGAGACGCTATATTGCAGCGCTAATGGTCCTCCTTCTGCGTCCGACACAGGAGAGGACGAAGCGCTTGAAGCACGAGCAGTGCACTATAGGGGGAGCTTCTCAGCAGCCCTCTACTCTCCTTGCCGGTGAGTTTGTGTCTGTGTCTGTGTGTCTGTCTGTGTCTGTGTCTGTCTGTGTGTCTGTCTGTGTGTCTGTGTCTGTGTGTGTCTGTCTGTGTGTCTGTGTCTGTGTGTGTCTATCTGTCTCTGTCTGTGTGTGGTGGCGGGCTGCTGTTACTCGCGTTGCATATTTAGAACTGGCAAACATTCTGCAGCTGCTCGTGCAAACTAGCGGTCTGTCCCTAGACCCTTCACTACGGGGGCGTGCATCCGTGGAAGTCTCCAAACAACAGCCAGGGAGAGACGCACAAGGCATTTGTTTGTTTCTTGCGCCTTGTCAATGCAGTGTCTCGATCCTTTGGTGACCGAGATCTTAAGAGCGAGGGCCTCATAAGTGCAACACCCGAGGTGGTCCTTCTGCCCCTCACACCTCAAGTCCGCTTTGTGCTCCTTGCATGCGACGGCATTTGGGATGCTCTTACAGACCAGGCAAGGCGAATAGTTTCTTCTTACTGTGTATAGATACTCTGTCTTCAGGCTTTGAGAATCCCTCTAGGCCTTCCACACGGCCAAACGCCAAGTTGTCACTTTTTGTGCGTGTTTGCGCTTCCGACGAGACTTTCACGCTGTGTTGTGTCTACATTTTAGGAAGTTGTAGATCTTGTGGCCATGCATCTGCACAACCCAGAGGAGGCTACTAGTCGTGTTATCAAGACCGCTTTTGAGAGAGGCAGCCAGGTCTGTATATAGTCTCGCTTTAAGAAGTTTTCCCGCCGCATATTAAATCGGTCTGTGTGTATCTCACTTTGTTGAGGTTGCTTGCCGCCCCGTTGTTCAGTGCCAATTTGCACTTCTGTCGCCGACCTTCTTTTACTCTGACTTCTCCCTCGACGCTATCTGCCGTTTTCCCTTTCTCTTCCTTCTCATTCTCGATTTTATTCTTCAACACATCCTTTGCATGCCTTCCGGGCCCCTGGCTGGTATTGTCGCTAGGTTCCGCATATCTGCTCTTTCTGCCCACTTCTCTTCAGTCTCTGCTCCTATCTATTCATGTTTCGTCCTTGCATGCTTGACGAATGCCTTCTCAGGATAACCTCACTGCAATGCTTGTAGTCTTCGACACCGATACGCAAGCCTCAGAGACTTCTTGAAGCAGCCCCCTCAGCGACCAAGTTTTATGCTGGGACGCTGGGAAAAGGGCAGTAGTGCCCCATCTCTTCCCCTCGATTGCCTCTTCTGCTGCTGGTTCCTTTAGGCTCTTCGTATGCTTTGCTTTCCCCTTAGTGCTGTGCTCTCCGAAGAGCTGCTGCCTGAGAATTCATGTGCATCTGCGCATACAACGGTGTGCACACGTGCCACTCGGCATTGTCTGAGTACCGTGGGAGAGAGTCTCTTTGGCGGACCTGATATATTTAAACGTCAAGGCCTGTCACAAAGCCACTGAAGCCAGGCTTCGAACGTGGGGTTGTCAAACGAGCTGAGGGGCTGCTAAGCAGCTACTGTAGCAGTGCATAGGGGGCTGCGTAGATTGCAAGGGGACCTATTTCGCTCTGCTGACGCAATACACTGGCAGGGTAGCTAGCTACAGTCGCGCCTGCGGCTCTCGATACAAGCGGCAAAAGGCTAACAACGCTACACGACTAGACTGCTGCCTATAATATAGAAAAACAATGAGGGGCAGCTGCAACCCCAGGCTAAGGAAAGAAACTCAGGAACCAGTGGCAACACACTTGGACTCTAGAAAATAGCACTCCATACAAAATTGCAGGGACAGTTAAAAGGTGTGTTTCCTCCCCTTTCCACTCCCACCCCAAAGAAGTCGGTCTCCTGGTGCTAACGACGCCGCGAAGGCCGCAGCTAGCTGAGTGACTCGCAGCTAGCTACCAAGCCACCCAGCTAGCTAGGCAGGGGACCTCCAACCACAGCGCGCTCCCAGTGATGCTGCTCCGCATCACCATTAGCCTGCAGTGCGCTCCCCTTCCCATCCGCCGAGGCCCTTTTTGCCAGTACGCCCAGCTCCGCACAAAGGCGTCCAATTGCAGAGACACCTCGCACCAGCCAACGCGCTGCCCTACTAGAGAGCGCAAGAAGCCCGCGGAAATAGCGCGAAGGAGAACCACTCCGGGAAGAAGCCAAGCGGCAAGGTACTTCAGGCCGCGTGTAACCCCCAACACCAACTGTGCTGACGATGACTGGCTGGGGAATCGCTTGTCGATACAAGCGAACAAGACCGCCATTGCAAATGGGGCCAGCTGCTTTTGCCGACAAACGAGAGAGAAAGGAGAACAGGGCCTCTCTAGGAAGGCTATTACGGAGCACGCTGTCTCCGTATCTTCTGAGGAATCCTTGCACTGGCATGTGTACTGACTGAACGGCATCAGCAGCAAGAACATCTTTGGCAGCAGCAGCAGCACCCGCGGCGAAAAGCCCTCTTACTGCAAGGCTACTTCGGGCCCTAGGGACCCTCACACCGTCCTCCCCCTTGCGTTCCCACTCTACCCCAACCCGCCTTCCCAAGCTGGGGAGCGTTTATATGCTGAGCTGTTACTGCTTCCTCCCGTGTTCCCGTGTTGCCTGCCACCCCTCTCCCGTCCCTCTGCTGCTCTGCCCACAGTCCCTCTGAGGGCCCTCGTGCGGTGTCTCTGCAGCACAGCACCAAGCCAATGAGTCCGAAGCCGCCGAACCGGCTACGCGGGGCCCCTCTGCCCGCCCGCCTCCCGCCTCTGCACCCCCTAGGATGCTTCTACACCCCGACTCACTACCAGACACTAGAACGCATGCAGCCCCGTTCGCACGCACGGGGGGCCCGCTAGCTCGCGTCGTCGCCGGGGGGCCCACCAATGCAGCAGTGGATGCCTCCCCCTTACGTGCTGGCGCCGTGCTGCTACCCGGTGTCTCTACTGAGGATGCGACGGTAGAGGAGAAGCCTCCTGAGGGCCCAACAGTGCCAGGGCCCCTTTGCCCCAATGCGATGCGCAACCGCTTGAGGGGAGGTGGCACTACTACAGGCGCTCTGCGGCCACCAGAGGGGCCCCCAGCTGCGCGCTTAGGCGCAGCTGGGGCCCTTTTAGGGACAGGTGCATTGGCACCTCGCACTGCTTCTGTCACGTTACCTGGAGGGGCACCCCGCGATGCTGCTGCAGATGGTGGTGCCTTTCTTACTGCCGCTGCCTGCCCTGCTCTTGCTGCCACGCTGGGAGGGAAGGGCCTCTTAGGGGACGCTGCTGGTGCTGCGGCTGCTAATGTGGCGATTGCTGGGGGGGGTACGTTCGGGGTAACTCTGCCCTTATTTCTAGATTCATTAGCGTGTAGACTGTCTCTCCTGTTGCTGCTTCCGCTGCTCGCTGACGATATTTCTGTGACCTCAAGTCTGGAGGCTCCCCGGGGGCCCGAGTTTGCGCGCTTCAGTGCTTTGATCTGCAGGCGGCGAACATGAAGAAACTGCTCCTCTGACAGGAAAGGCAGGATTGCGGTGTATCCTAAAAATGGATTCCGGGGGTTTGGAGGCTTCCCCGGGAGACCTAAGGGCTTGGGGCCCCCTGCTGCTGCTACAGCAGCGACTTGTTGCTGCTGTTCGTCGGTTGGGCACGGTGCGTTCGAGGCAGGCAACGGAGCAGCCACAGCAGGAGAGGCAGTGTCTCCGGGCACCCCTTCCCCACCAGCAGGAGCAACAGATCGAGACGGACTGCTCCTTGCTGTTGCATGCACGTCGCCTGCTGCCGGAGCGGTTACTGGGGGGGCCCCTAGACCTGTCTGTACAGTGGCGGGCACGATTAGAACAGCCCCCTGCCTCCAAGGTTCATTTGATCTGCTGCCGTACTGCACATAGTCTCTTACGCAGGAGAGGACTTCTTCGTATTTGGTGGAATCTACTGCAACTTCTAAAGAAAGCCCCAAAGCTGTGCGTTTTAACACCCCATGCCCCTGTGGGGCCCCCCCCGTGGAGGCGGTCCCCCTTCGGGCCCCCCCAAACAAGCCACACAGCGGCTGTTTGCGAGCAGGGAGCATCGGCAGGCGCCCATACTTCTCAATCCAATTAACCCTGAGTACACATGCAGGTGTAGGTACACCCGAGGGGCCCCCCCCCGCTGCGTACGAAGGACTCCCCTGCATCTGCCACTGAGACAAAACATCTGCAGCTGCAGGGTCTGTCGAAGGCACCCGATTAAGGGCCCATAGACGAACAAAGCCCCCAATGGAAAAGGAGGAGCCCCCGCCACAGAGGCAGCAGGGAACAACGAAGAACTCTTCCGCTGCTGTTGGCGCTTCGGCGGGAGCAGCAGCAGCACCTGCAGCAGGAGCAGTCTCTGTTTCCCGCATGCACGCGCTCGCGAGGACTGCAGCTAGTTCAGAAGCAGCATCCACCACCATCAAGTCGAAGTCTCTCATGAGTTGCAGATTCTTCGAAGGCTGCAGATAGACAAAATGACGAGGGCCCCCTGCTACCGCCGTCCCAGGAGAATGCGGGGGTGCCGCAGAGGCCCCCGCTGAAGGGGCCCCCCCCCCTTCGCTGACTGCCACTCCTGAAGAAGTCGTTCCATTAGGAATGGTCTCAGCACTTGCCTCCTCTTCAACAGGCAGCGGGGGCCCCTCATCGGGGGGGCCCCCCCCGTCTGCAGCTGGAGGCTGCTGCACGGGCCCCTCCTGTGCTGCTGCCTCTCCAGTTGGGGGCTCCGGATGGGGCGCACCCGCTGGATCCGTCTGAGGAGGGGAAGGGGGGCCCCCAGTTCCCTCGGGGGCCCCGATTTCGGGGTCCCCCGTTGGGGCCCCCGGGGCCCCTGGGTCTCCAGCGGCCACTGCATTCGGCTGCTCGTAATCGTCGGGATTAACGTTTTTGAGGATCTCCTCCAGCCGCTTGTTGCGCATGATCTGGCGAAAAGCCGAGAGACAAAAGGGGCATCTGTGTTGCTTCTTCAGTTGAACCTCAATGCATCCTCGACAGGCGGAATGGCCACAGTTCGATGCACATTTGACTAAGAGAGGCTGCCGCATGATGCCCCCACACAAGCCACACACCCACTCGGGAGGCAGACGCAGCTTGGGGCCCCTGAGGGGCCCCGCCTGGCTCCATTCAGCAGCAGACAATTCCGTCCGTGCACTGTGTTGCAACACCTCTTGACCGCTAGGGCCCCGTATAACCACTCGCTGCAGCACAACCCGCGAGAAACTCTGAATCGGCTGTTCTTCCAGTTCCGCTTCCACAAGGAATTCCCCTGCTCCGCCCACTGGATCGCACTCATTCTTGCTACTGGTGGCGTTGGTGTTGTTGCTGCTCGGGGGGGGGGGCTGGGGGGTGGGGTCGCTGCTACTTGAGCTGGTGTTCACAAGGAAGACTCGAAAGTCGATCTTCCTCCTAAATTCAGCAGCAAAGCCGCAACGCCGAGCGAGAACTTGCTTCAACTCAGCCACCGTCACTGTGGGGCCCGAAATAGGGCACTCTCTGTACGCCCCTGCATGCTCAGAGCTTAGCCGGTAGTATATCAGCATTCTAGAGGCCGCGTTCTGTGTGTTTCTCTAGCTCCGCTCCTCCGTCCTTCTGCCTCTTGGTGTCTGCCTCTCTTTGCCTATATGCCTCCTTAGATGCCTCTTTAGATGCCTCCTTCCGTCCTTTTTCGCCGCCGTCTTAATGATGTGTTTCCTAATATCTGTTTCGCTCAGGCTCAAGACCCCTACCAGGAGAGCCGTCCACAGGTATCTTTTCCCTGGCAGAATCTGGAGCACAGAGCCTCTAAGGCTGACGCGAGGCCACCCACAGGCTGTAACAGGAGGAGAAGAAAGACGAGGCAATGAGGAGCTGACGCATTGGGATGGCAAGGAGGTGGGGGAAGATCGGGGCACCAAGGCTTCAACTTTGGTCTTTAAAAACGTTGGCATCACCTACCACATCGTCAATATTCACACGGCCAGCAGTCAGACCGTTGGCATTCGCTGCTGATGCTTCCAATCATTCCTTTCATGGTGTTCATTCAATTCTGGTGTGACAAGACGATGACACGTCGCAGAAAGAAGGCAGGGAGGCCCTCAAGGGCCTTCTGCCTCCTCCGTAGCAAAAGAAGAAGCATACAAGCCGCAACAAGTATCCTAAGACCAGAAAAATGGAAACTGTGTCGCTGCTGCTGCTACTACTAGTGCTGCTGCCAGTGGTGCTGCTGCGCTGCGAACGCAAGCACTACAACAATTGCAGGCACCAGGCAGGCAAAGAGGAAAAGAGGTATCCCCAGAGTGTCTGCTGCTTAAGCGCATGAATGCAATAAAACAAAAGTGTAAACTATATTCTCCTAGGCAGGTAACAGCAGAAGAAGAAGCAGAGAAAGAAGCGCATGAGAGCAGCAGCAGGAGGCGAAACAGCCCTGACTGCAGCATCAGCAGCAGCAGCAGTCATTCTCTCCCCTCTACTATGTGCTGAAGCAAGCTCTGCAGAGAGGGCCATTCGCCGTTTGAGGGATTTTCTAAGGCCTTTTTCGTTTAGTATAATCATTCTAAACTCATTTGGGCCCCATTTCCATCTTTCTCTGCATTTCCCGTGCGGGGTCGAGCGTTTTTAGGCTTAGCTGCTGCTGTTGCTACGCTGCAGCTGTTTTGGAGTCGCTCAGACTTCCTCTATCGACTTGTTGCAAGGGGTTTCAATCTAATTCACTCTGTTGTCTTGTTTCTTCTCAGTCGTATTAAAGGAGGGGTGAAGGGAGGCAGCAGGGGCGGTGTTGGGTTGATGCAAAAGTCCTCCTGATAGCACTCGCATCACAGCGGCTGGCACTGAAGGAGCATTTTTATTGACTTGGAGACTTCATACCCGTGGAATTGTGCCCCCTTCTTTTTGAGGCGTCCTCTGAACCGTCTGTATTGGAGGGGGTGCCGCGTTGCCTGCGCTTGCTTAGACTCGCATATACCTCTGGCAAGTGTATTTTGTGGGCTGACGCCTCGGATCCTCGCGTGTAACGCCGTTGCTGGCGCATGTTAAGAAGCGGAGGGAAGGGAGAGAGAGCGGTAGGAGGGGGAAAGCGCGAGTGGAACGCCTGGCGCGAGAGTCGATAGGGGGTGGTGAGGCAACAGGGGGATCAAGCAGGGAGGGCGAGTTAGGTGCCCTGTTGTCTTCCTGCGTGTTGAATTTCGCCTCTCGGCATGATGCCATCGTCATTGTGACCCCAGATTGATCCCTATGCAAGCCAGAGAACAAGAAAGATACAGACGGGAAAGCAACGAAGGCAGAGGCAGTCAACAGACGAGAGAAGATGTCGACCTTGCGGAGCGAGCCGATGGTGCGGGGTACGATGGTACTTCCCTCCTCGCTTCCTGTCGCTCATGAAATGTTGGAGAGGATAGGGCGCCTGTCAGCTGTTCAATTTGTAGATATGCAGGCGAATGCTCTCGTCAGGCCGTATAACAACTACATTCAGCGAATCGAGGAGATGGAGAGGATCATTCGCTTCCTTCACGAGGAAATAAGGTGTTTGGAGCTAGCCACGGCAGCGACGAGAGGAGGGGATACCGCTCCGCTAGTGGTGAAGGCGCCGAAAGGCGGCCAGAGTTTCCTCGAGAACGGAAAAGGGTATATCCTGGATCGCGTGGAGGAGGCGCTGAGTCGTCTGTATGCGCAATTCGTGCTATTCAAGGGCAACAATACAAATTTGCAGAACGAGAAGAATGCAGCGTTGGAAGAACAGTGCGTCTTGCAGGTGGCGGTGCAACAGCTCAGGGTCGGTGGGGCCGGTGGAAACACACTGTACGGACAGGGTCCTGGAAGGGGTTTTTCGGGGGGCCCCCCTGCTGGGGGCCCCCGTGGGGATTTCCAGGAAGATACGGAAGACATTGAAGACGGCCGCAACTTGTTGTTTCCGCAGTCAGGAGATGAGTTCATGAGTCTTTCCGCTTCTAGCAAGACGGGAGAGAACGCGGCTGTGTCTGCTGTCGCGGGGATGATTGCACTTCAAGACATTCCACGCTTCCAGCGCACGCTCTTCAGGTCTACTAGAGGCAACGCCTTTTCCTTCTTCCAACCGACAGATCAGAAGTTCACGGATCCCAAGACAGGAGCAGATCTCCAGAAAAACGTCTTTGTGGTGTATCACCAGGGAAGCACGCAGTCCCTTTTGCATGAAAAGATCAAGAGAGTCTGCTTGGCGTTCAACGGCCATTGTTATCAGTGGCCTTCCACTCTCCGTCAAGCGAAGGAAAGACTGGACGGTGAGAAGGCAGGGGTCCTTTAAGGAGGATTGGCATGTCTAGGGGGCTTCTAAAGCACTGCTCAGGTTCATGTGGCTTCATCGCGTTGCTGTAGAAGTACCCTTCTACCCCCCTTTCCTCCCCTACTACCCCCCTCCCCCACGTGGTGTTCGTGTTCTCGTATCGCGCTCTCTGTCTAACGCCCGTAGATGTATCTTATAACTCCCAGCAGCTCTTTTCTTGCCTGAATATGCTTCCTAGTCGTGTGGTCGGTGTCTGTTCGCCGTGCTTGGCGCGTGCTCTCTGCTGCCCTCAACATCCAGTGCCTCTTGTATCTTAAAAATAAGCCATCTGATGTGTCTTTCTGCGCGCTTTTCTTTCGAGAAACTGGCACATACAATACTCTCCCTGTCGCAATCTGCCGAGCCGTTGCTCTGATGTCGCGCGTGTCTTTTTCCTCCGCTCTGCTGTCTCTGCTCAGCATTGACGGATGTCATACGGGATAAGGAGAAGGCCCTTGCCGCATACGAAAACTATTTCCTGGGGGAGATCTCCACGCTTTTAGACATTCCAAGGGAGGGCAGCTCCTCACTCATTGAGGAATGGAGGATGTTCTGTCAGAAGGAAAAGGCCATTTATGCGGCGCTCAACTGCTTTGAGGGTAGGCAGTACTCGAGGTTACGCTGTGATGCATGCAGTGTGTGAAGGGGCCTATTCGGTCGTGAAAATCGGGAACTGAGTGCTTTCTACGATTTATTGACGGAGCAACTGTGTTTCTGGATGTGCTCTAGGCAGAGATATGACACTGCGGTGTTCATGTTGGATTCCCAAGGCGAAGGAGGAAAGCGTGAGGATGGTCCTCAAGTCAATGAAGACGGAGGGCGACGAACAGGTACTTCATTCGGAGAAAGCACGTGTTTTCTTTTCTGCTGCTTGTTCATGTTTTGAGACTCTTGCCTCTCTAATTGCCTCTTCTCATGCGCCTTTTTTCGTGGCCATTGCTGGTCATGGGATGCTGTTTCGCGATGGAATAATGCAGATCCTCCCCTTTAGCACACATGTCGGGCCCCACAGCAAAGCGTGAGGCAAGATCGTGAACTAACAGCGCCCATATGAGGCCTCATCTGCATGCGTTTTTGGCTGTCCCCTTTTGGTGTTTCTTAGGGGTCGGCGTTCCTTCTCACAGAGAAGCAGTTCTCTAACGCAATGCCGCCAACCTTCTTCAAGTCAACGGAGTTCACGGACCCGAGCCAAATGCTTGTAAGAGAGAGCAAACTCCAATTTGTTATCGTATTATTATTATCTGTTTTCCATCGAAATCCCCGACTTTTGTCGCTGAATGGAGGCGTCGAAAGAGTCTCCTGAATTGGGGTCATCTTTTCGTGTCCGTCCGACTGCACTGTCTGTCCACTTCAGTTGCCAGCCTCTCCCTATTCTGGATTGTGTTTTTAAATTTGTATGTTCGCGTGTAGTGTCACATGTCTCCATATGTCGTTTCTGGCGGGCTGTCTTGTTCAGGTGGATACTTACGGCGTCCCCCGCTATCAAGAGGCGAATCCAGCCTTCCTTGCTTCCGTGACTTTTCCCTTCTTGTTTGGCGTGATGTACGGCGATATTGGGCACGGTGGTATTGTCTTCCTCCTCGGCCTGTATCTTCTTTTCTTCAGTGACTACCTCAAGAAAAACGGAGGCATGTTTGCGTCGTTTGTACCGTATCGATATCTCCTTGCTCTGATGGGTTTCTTCGCCTTTTATGCTGGCTTCCTCTATAATGACTTGTTCGCCTTGGGTGTCGATATATTCGGGACTACTTGGACGGAAGATGGACACGAGGAGATCAACGGCGGTATCAGACTACGACGAATTGTAAGCCGCGAACGGTGCTGGTCTTAGTGCAGTCTTTACGGCCTCTTTTGCCTTTCAGCCTTCTGTTCGCCGTGCCTGCCTCCGCTATTTGTGCCTTTTTCTGCTCCCGTCGAGGATTGTGTTTTCTTCTGTGTCTGCTGCGTGGCCATATATAGTCTTTCTCGTCTTTCCACTTGGCGTGTGGTGGATGTATATTTGTGAGTGTGTGTGTATGGGGGTGTGTTGTGCTGCTTAGTGCGAAGGGGAGGGGTGGGGACGCACAGGGTAGAAGGGTGGTATTAGTGTGGCACCAAAAATATGGCTGCTGTCTCTAGGGTTGAGGGGTCAGTGTTTGCGCGTTCCCTTTATGCTTGGGAGCTCAGGGCGAGAAGACGTACCCGTTTGGAGTAGATCCTGCGTGGAAGGGAGCCACCAACGAGCTGCTCATGATGAACTCGATCAAAATGAAATTGTCGGTTCTTATTGCGGTGGTGCACATGGGGGTCGGCGTGTTGTTGAAGGGTTTGAATGCGATTCACTTCAAGGACAAATTGGACTTCTTCTTCGAGTTTATTCCCCAGTTTATTTTCCTCATGACCCTCATCGGATATATGAACTTCATGGTGCTCTACAAATGGGTGACGCCTCTTACCCACAACAAGCCCAACCTCATCAGTGCCATCATCAACATGTGTATGATGGGTGAAGTAACGCCAGACGAGGAGCTCTACCCGAACCAACAGACCGTGGAGAGGGTCCTCTTGGTGCTTATCGTCCTGACGGTTCCAGTCATGTTCTTAGTGAAGCCGACGATACTGCTGCTCAAAAGCAAGCAGAAGAAGGCCAGCAGCAAGAAGATCGACATGGCTCTAGGAGATCACGACCCCGAAGCTGGAAGCAACAATGATCACAACTCTGGACTGGCGCACCACCAGTCTTCCGGAGCAGGCGGAGGCCAGGGTGACGAACACGAAGATGCAGGAGCGGGAGACCTCTATATCTTCCAGATGATTGAAACGATCGAGTTTGTGCTAGGCACCATCTCCAACACGGCTTCCTATCTTCGTCTGTGGGCTTTGTCGCTGGCTCACCAACAGCTCTCTCTTGTGTTCTACTCCCAAACAGTTGTTCGGGCACTGACAATGTCGGATAGCACCGCGCTTGTTGCTGTTGTGTTGTTCTTCGTCTTTGCCCTCTTCGCTTTCATCACCTTTGGGGTCATTCTCTGTATGGATCTGCTAGAGGTCTCTCTCCACGCCCTTAGGCTGCAGTGGGTTGAGTTTCAGAACAAATTCTTCAAGGGAGACGGCTACAAGTTCGATCCCCTGGACTTCCTTGCCGTTGTTAAGCCCAAAGCATCATGAAGAGGCATTTGAACTCATCAGCCTGCCCGAGTGTTGCCTACCTCTGCTTTCTTTCATGGCCTTTTATTTCGTCATTTCCGTTCTTTCGGTGTCTCTCTGTCTCTGCTGCCAGCTTCCTCATCTGCACTGCGCAGAGAGGAGGCCAGTCAGTGCAGTTACTGATTGCTGGCATTCTGTTTGGGCTGGAAGCTGGTCCACCCAGACGCGAGAATCCGAATACCAACAATTAGCAAACAAAAGACAGGCAGGCAAGCGAATATTGTCGCGTCTGCTTGCTTCTGTTTTATGGGTAGAATTGCACGTCGTTCATCGGCGTCGCAATGAAGGCTCCTCGGAGGAGGGCAAACAAAGTTTCTTTGCAGTTTGTTTTGCCGACAGCCGGACAGATGTCACTGTCAGCCTGATACGTCCCTTTCATCTATCTGGGGGGTACTCAATTGTGCAGGGGGGCGAATCGCCGAGACTGACTCACAGCCACCAACAAACAAAGTGGCAGCATGTGAGCAAGTTACTCGATAAACGATCTCATCTGATTTCTTAGTTCCGTAGATTCCTTTTGAGCATTGCGAGACATACAAATGTGTGCATTTTTCGGGACCTACGGAAACGGAGCCCCCGGCTCGGAAAATATGTGGAAAAAGAGGATCAGCGAGCCTGCTACACGCCGCAGCGGAGTAATGCGTTGAGATTAGTACGCGTAGACAACGAGAATGCTGATTCATAACAATTCCGGTTCACGCCTTAAGCAATATTTGCTTCTCTCATCATCTAGCTCTTGAATTGGTCCGTATATATTCTATTTTTCTGCATTTTATAAGACATCTGGAGGCACGCCTGTGATGCATAGGCGTGCCAAAGGCAACTTGAGTCCAACTTCAGGGCGTCTCTCATAATCGCCATTAAACAGCGCCCCAAAATGCGCGCTGGTGGAAAATGGAACAAGGTCGGCACGTAGAAGCGCGACATGGTAATCTCGACTTGTAACCATGAATGTCTGAGCTGCACTGTAAATACTTCTATGGCTAGTCTAGCGGTCCAAGTTACACTGTGTCAGTTACATTCCTGATGTATTAACTCACTCGGTAAAGCATTATTTGTGGGCATGACTGTCCTTGAGCTCTCTGCCTTGTAGGTGAAGATCCTGATGTGTGGCTAAGCCATATCTGCAGCAAACGCTTCCTGTGTGCTGCTGGGCGCAAACACCTTAGCTGCTCAAAGGGCTCAATCACCAGCATGCACCCCCCACTATTCTCTAGCTCACATCACGCTTGGTTTCTAGTTGGCTGAGTCTGGGGACTGGATGTCTTATTGTGGAAACTCCGGAGGGGAGTTACACTGGGCCTTCTGCTCCAAGGACCACCCCTATGACGTAGGGAGTATACATCCGGCCATTTGTTCGCAGTCCTCGGCTTTGAAGTGTGAAGCATATTTCTAAGGACTTGCATGCTCAATTCTGCTCTGACTATGGCATTTTGACCCTGGAAATATTTCTGGTAAGGCTTCCGGAATCTGGTGTAGGGATTTACGGTCTCATTTGCCCGTGATATTTGCGGAGCCCTGTTAAAATCCACACATATAGTGAATCCTTATTATATTCTGAAGCCTTATAGATAATCTTTTATTCATGATCCAAACTTGACTGGCTGCTCAGTCCCTAGCATTGAACCCAGGCGAGCAGGCGCTTGGGGCCGGGTCTGTACCGTTCTCGCTCTTAATGTTTCTGTCTGTTCCCCCTGTTTGCTTCTAGAAGATTACATAGGGTAGGTTTTTAATTCATTCTTCTTAATTGGAACCTAGAGGTCAACCACCCGTGAAATTGGTGTGTAGTCACCGGTCTCCAAACACTTGTGACAGCTGCGACTCGCTGTCGGACAGCACAAAGCATTCTTAAGACCCCGAGGTTCTGCCATTCTCTCCCTCCTCTCGCTTAACGTAGCAGCAACAGCAAAGCCAGCGGGGTTAGACGTAATGATATCTCATAGCACGACCTGTGCGAGTGGGAGGGCCTCTGTCTCCCCAGTCCATGCAGTCTCTCTTTCTTGCACTTCCCCCCGTGCTTCATCAGCGAGTTCCTGCTTCTCTATGGGTGTTTCTGAGCAGCAGAGCGCCACCTTCAGCCGCTTCGCGTTATTTTCTGCCCATTGCACCCCGGCTCCTCCCACGCGTTCTAGAGGCCTTTGAAGGGCGGTGTCTCCTAGTTCTTTTCTTTTCCTCATTGCTTCTTAGTGGTTAGAGTGAATCTCCGCCCATTGCCGCGCGTTTCGAGGGCTCTAAGGTATATGAATTGTGGCTTGCTGCCCTTTGGTCTCGGCCATGGCGAGGAATGCCGAGAGCCCTGCTACGCTGGCTACGGTGACCAGTTGGATGGGCTTTATGTCTGGAGTCTTCACGCTAATACTGTGGTGCTTCCTTCTACCAGCAAGCAAAGTTCGGCTCTATGTTGAACCGGGAAACTTCATGGGGGACGTAAATCAGGAGAGATGGAGGCAAGCGCTCTTCTCCTTTACCCCTGAGGTGTTTGTAGATGTATGGACACCGTTTCTCTTTGGGGCTGTTTCTTTAGTTGCCCACTTTTCCAGCTTCGAGTTGCCTCTCGTGACGGGGGACTATTTTCGTTTCTTTTGCTGGAATCTGGTCATGGCCCTCTTCGCAAATTTGGGGTACGCGGGGGGTCTTGGGATCATCTGCGGCAGCTATACGCTCCTCGTCGCTTTCTTTTCCCTCATTTGCCTTTGTGCGTGCAACGGGTGTGCTAAACTCAACCTGGACCCCTTTAGCCAGCAGGAACCTCTAGACTTCTAAGGGGAATCACAAAAAGATGGAGGGAGGAGGGGATGGGTGGGTTGGAATACGGGCATGCAGGGAAGGAACACGATACAGACACAAATCCAGGACCATTTGAGCTTATTATCGAGATAAGCAAGCTACACAGTCCAGAAATTCTTACCACTAGCGGCCAGAAATGAGGGGGCCCACGCAAACCCCGTACCTCAGCTGTCAATTGTAGCAACTGAGCAGATAGACAATACAGTGAGTTCAAGGACCTCTTTTTGAAGAGAAGAAGTCTGCCAGCCTTTTGATGAGGACTCAAACAGTTCTCTGTTTGTGGTGATTTCGGGCAGCCAATGGCCCCTTATAGTGTTTTGGATTCCCCTAGAGATCTTCGCCAGATTCATGAATGTGTATGCGTAGGTGTGCCTCTGTGGCACGCGTTTGCTGCGCCTTATTCTTCGCGTTTGTGCACTAATTGATCTTTGAAATTGGTCGAAAGAACGCCAAGGATGTCGGTGTGCTCCTTTGGTCAATAGGCGCCAAACAACATTGCATCACATTCAGGGAACAGAGCTTTGTTGCTCCGAAGCATGACTTTTGAAGTAGAGAACAAGCCGGCAGGCTCAGCCTTCTTGCACTCGTATTTTGCGCTCAAATAAGACTGATTGGCGTACTTTAGTGCTTTGCTTCTCCTTGCTCTGCTTCTGGGGGGATAAAAGAGATAGAGGCAAAGATACAGAGACACACATGCATGCACGCTGTCCCCACCCCTTCCCCTCCTAAAAAGTAGTCAAGTTCGCTGCTATATAAAAAGACAAACGGAACAGGAGAACAGTGTGTAGCAAGCAGCCGCACACACGGGAGCAGTGGAAGTGTGATATGCTTCCTAAAAGAAGATAAACAGCAAATTTAGCATTATGAGGCGGATTTTCGGGGGCTTTGTGTCACTGTAGTATGTAAATCTGACTTCTACGGTCATGGAAGAGGGTGCCGGTCAAATTCCTAAAAGCTTTGCTTCCTTGCTTGGTGACGCTTGTCAGAGACTCTTAAGAATATTGTATAGGCACTCGGCCCCGGTATGGCCCCCATTGTCAGAAAATGGACCTAAATAATGTTTTCGTTCAGGCCGCACTGGATTTTTCATCAGGTTCCAAATCAAGGTGCGAAGCATGCCTCAGGCTTCATTAGCTTTCCAGCTTGGAACCGTGTCTTCGAGCAGAGTGTTGCAGCTCGTGGCCTGCCAAGAAACCGTCTCCTATGCGGGATTTTTAACGGTAGATAGATGGATTTGAAGTCTACCTAACCAGTAGGAGTTTTGACTGCCTCCTGGAAAGGGCCGTGTAGTCGACGATTCTTGAAAACTTCGCCTTTAAAATGTTTAGTGCTTACCCTGCAAGCGTATCTGTAACGCTCTACATATGCTATGCTCCACATGGGGAGCACCCAACTCCAAGCCAGTGCAGAGCTTGCTATGGAATACTTGACTACGCTTCCCAAACACCTAACCCTCCTTGCTCACCTTCAATAGGCTTTTGGCTGGAGGGAGAGGCAAGCACAGTTGCGGTACATGGACGTTATATCTCACATCCGTTTGCACATTCCAACCTCTTGCAATAAGTGAGCCGACTCTACTCTACTGCAAATAACGTATTCGAAGAAGGAAACCAAGCATCAAATTTTTCACCGAGTTTCTTCAATCTTATCAGTGTAGTAGAAAGTCCTGAAGGTAGTTTAGGGCTCTACAATCGCTCCACAAGGGCCCTGACCTTCCGTACCATCCAACGCTGATTGTGGCTGCGTATTGTGTAGAGATATAGTGTACAACCCAAGCACGAGTCGCTTCCTATATAGGACTCCTTGTGTCAAAACCGTGTGGCAATACTGTTGGAGGCGTGAAAATTTGAGGTTTGCAGGCCTAACTGGATAGCTGTCGTGTGATGGCTTCTGTGCCTCAGGGTTATAGAGCTGCAAGGATTCCTTCTTGTCACCATAATCCTGGTACCCAATGACATCATAACATAGCCGACTACTTAAAAAGCCTTTTATTGCGGAATGATAGGGAGATATGAGATTTGGCTAGCTACGACTGGGGGTGTTCGCCCCGGCCTGAGGAAATCAAAAGAGACACCGAAGGAGACAAAATGCAATATCCGATTGTGCTGAATAATTTTCGTGGCTTTCGAATAGCGACCCTATTTAAGCACAGATACACAGCTCTTGGGCTTCTTATCTACCCAGTCTTCATCTCTTTTTGCTAAGGTTGTTCGTCAGTTGGGTGGCTGTTGCTGCTGCCGCTACCGGAGAGGTTTCGCGTTACTCCTTATATATTTACCTCGAGTTTAAAAGCCCTATACTAATTACGCTTCTTTGTGTTTCATCTAATATTTGTTCTTCCAAGGGCCATCCGTTAGCGAGGGCGTTTGGCCAGTGGTCTGCCTGTCCGTGTGTGGATGGAAGTCCAGGCACTGCAGTGTATACGGAGGCTTCATTTCAGTGTGTAGGACAGTCCTGCCTCTTCTCCCTCCACTGCACACAGTACGAAATCTGATCGAACAAGACGGCTTCTTCCTGTTAGCAGGGCATTGGACATTTTTTCCTGCAATTACCCGTGACGCAGTACCCCGTGCTGCAATGCCTCGAGGTCACTCCAGCGAGGGGTCTCCCCATAGCATTACCAGCAGCAGAGGCAGTAGTACACCACCAGATGGGCTGCGGTTTGCCGACAGGCCACGTCTTTGGCAGTGGCGCTTCAGACACGGAGGGCACAGTTTGCCTCGCTACGCCCCCCAAATTCCCCATTTCCTGGAGGCACACGACCCAGAGGACGAAATTGGACAATTGCTACATGCATTGACTCTTAATAAGCGACTGCCAGATCATGCACAGGAACTGGCGAAACACTTCGCAGACACCAAGCACCAGCTCGAAGGGCTTCTCCAAGAAAAGGAACTGGTGAGGAGCACAGGGACAGCGACTACAGGCGAGATGCATGAAGAGAGGAATACGGAAGCACGCCCGGACTATATTTTATTGTGAATGCTTCTCCGCAGCTAGAATGGCACAACAGCAACACCAAAAAAGAGCTTCTGTTGAAGCGCAGCGAAGCCAGAGCACTCAATCAGAAGGTCACAGCTGTTAAGAACAAGATTTTCGTAAGCTGCATTTTATGCACTCTGCTCTTGCCCCTCTACTGCCTTCGTGTGTTACTCTCCCAACAGGCCTTCCAAGCCAACCCTTCGATTTTACTCCATGCCATGATGTTTCGTAGCACGAGATTAATTTCTTGTTGGTTTTCGTGGGATTTCAAAGTCTAGGGACCCTGCCAGGGTTCTGTGCACGAACTTCCCTATTCTACCACATAAGCCAGAGCTTTTTTGGAGGCGCGCATTAATATAGAGCTTTCTCTCCACGGTTTATGCATGTGCATCTGTGCTTTCTTTCAGTAAGTGGACATGATGTAAAGTTTTGCGTGCACTCGAAGTTGCAAACAATTACCTGATCACACACGCATACATTCGTGCACAATAAAAGCTTCGTAAAAAAAATTCCTGACCTCATGAAAATATATAAGTGCATGTGCCTGATAATGCAGCAAAATAGAAGGACCACAGAGAGATTCCAATATGAGCACAGCCATATCCAACGGGCGGCCGCCAAGCTTGAGGCTATTGGTAGAAACCTGCAAGCTGGTGAGGTTAACCAAAGCAATCCAAAATTCGGAGTGTAAATAGTCAATCTTGTCCGTATTCCATTTATTCCCTGTATGCCTGACGTAAAAAGCTATGCACTTTTGCTTGCTGGACAAGGAGAGGAAAAGGCAACGCCAGAACAAAAGAGCTGAAATGATTGAAAGACGCACAGCCCATTAAGAGTGCTTTGAAATTTGTGTCGTTTTCTGGCTGCACCGCAGAGCGGGATGGAGTGGCTCAAGAGTATCAGCAGGTACGGCTCAAATATATTCTTTTGCGGTTGTGAATCGTAAGCTAAGGTATGGGACTAGCCGGGGAACCAGCAGACTGATGACAGAATGCCCTTTGTTGGTGGTGCAGTGGATTGGCAAAAGAAACGATTTCATGCATAAAACTGCCCAAGAAAGAAAGCAGGCTGATTTTGTCAGGGTGAGGAAGAGAACACATACCACTATTTGCATCGTTGCCTCCCGGTGTTGTTCTATATCACGGAAAATTTATACCTAAGCTGAGTAGGAGGAAAAGGGCTGAAAGCTCAGCAGAAATGTAGAGGCACAAATTGAGAGAAGAAAAGAGAATGGGAAGGACTGTCGTACAAACATTTTCCTTTTGATACATCCAATGAGGCTGTATCTGACGCTAGAATCCACCTGATTCTCCACTAGTTTGGAGGGGTAATTTTTTCTTTGCAGAGACGACGAAGCCGCCAACTAAGGAGACTGCAGTTGGCAGTTAATCGTGACAAGCGTGTCCATGTCAAGAGTGACCTCCTGGTTTGTCTTATGGCCCTCAGGCAGCCTCCTTTGCCTTTCTAAGCTCCTCCTCGTCCTAAACCATATTTATACTTACGATAATCATTTTGTCCAGCAGACTCGCGCTCACATACTTGTTGAATATGCCCATATCTCTTGCCTTTTTCTCTTAATCTGCATCTCACAGCTGGCTCCTCTGGTAATCGCTAAACTGAGTGTTTGTGTATGTCTTTTGCTACATTAAAGAGGTCTTGGGAGGCATTGCATCTACAAGCGCAGGGGCACGCTGAGGGAAGGAAGGCAGTGAAGTCAGCAGCCCTCAGACTTCGCTCATAATCTTTTCGACTGTTGAGACCAAAGGTAAGTAATTAACTAGCAGGTAGAATAAAAAATTGTCCATTACTCCAATCCAAACAAGTTGGTGAGGGGGGCAAGGGTTTTGGGGGATTGCACTTTGAGCAGTTATTGTGCCATGAATGAGGGTATTATGGCACTGAAATGTTCGTTTAGTCAAACCTGTAGCTTCGCAAAGGCATACACGGTTCATCAACAAAAGCTTCTTTGAATGCTTTTGCTGTTTGCTGGCCTCGATTCTTTGTCGCAGAAGGCTGCACAACACAAGCACGTCAGAAGAGGTCCCTCCACAGAAGACATCCACGAAAGATAAATACAAATATCGAATTGTTGACGCCTTTCTGCAAAGTAAGGCAACGTAAATAGATTCGTTTGCAGCCAAGGTGAAAGCCGCAAAAGCTGAACCTACATGGAAGGGCTTTCTGATTCGTCGTATCCTTTTGCATTAGCTGTTTCTACCGAGAGGAGGGATATTTTTCAGCCTCGACTGTGCGCGAGGCATTTACCTACAGGCCTAATCCTCAAACTAAGCCCTACACCTTATACTTTGGGAGTGAGGCTTGGGGTTAATTGTTTAAAGTTCTCATGCCCTAATTCAGCAGTCAACTCTGTCAACCGCCAGTCCCCCGACCTTTCGAACTACAGCATACAGTCTTGTACAAAAGCTATACAGTAAGTCTAAAATTCGAGGATACATCATTCAGCTCGCAAGAAAAGCTAAGCCTTAAACCGCAAATCCTTTGCTGCCTTTGCTCTATTTGCTTAGGTTATATAATGGGAGGGTTAACACTGTAACTCTTAATGTAACCGCAGGAGTGCCGAGGAGGGGGGAGGGGCAGAGTACGAAGATTGCCAAACAGACAAATTCCTGAAAGTTAAAAACAATAAACCTTGGGTTGGGCAGTTTGTTCTTGCCGCCATTATTCTAAATGGTGCATATTGCCACCAAAGCCGCAACAACACGTTATGCGTAGACGCTGCAGCCACAACACTGACCACAGTAGAGTTATAGTATGCAGGAACCTCTGCTCGGATATACGGGCTTAGAGCGAGGTCGAGGCCTTTGAGAATCAATTCCGCCACTCTTCTGAGTCTCTGCAAGAGCAGAGCCGCCAGGACACACACATCACTGCACATCGCGCGCCCCCTCCTCTTTGGGCCCGGTAGGGGCATTAGCAGCAGCTGCAGTACCATAGCAGACCAATAGGGTATGCTTGGTCGCTTGCTGCTGGATTCATGCTTCCTTCCTGCTGCTCGCCAAGCTCATCGGAAGGCCGGGCGGCTAGCCCCAGAGTACCGATAGAAGCTTCAGATAGCGCAACTGAGGTGCAAATTTTGCATTACAAGCGAAAACAAGCTGTCTCAAACGACGCTGCTGCCGCAGAAGGCAGTAACCCACAACATAAAACAAAAAGGCACAAACAGAAGTGCCCACGAAGCGGGGTCTATCCGCCAAGAGGTAAACCAGCCGCTCGGCCTGGATCAGCAGCTGCAGCAGCAGCGGCCGCAGCACGAGCAGCAGCAGCAGCGGCCGCAGCACGAGCAGCAGCAGCAGCGGCATCTTCTGTCAGCATCCAAGCAAACACTGAGTGTGCACTGTCACATTATATAAAAGAGGGTCCATCATGGGGGCTGACAAGAGTGATGCAATGCCCGGCAAAAAGCCGGGATCACCAAGAGCATAAACAAGGGAAGGTATCAATAGCCAATATCAGCAACCGCAGTAGGAACAAGCACAACACAAAGAGCGGGAACAAGCAGCTCTTAGGCCTACTGCATATATCCCATTTGGAGTCTCGCATTCATCCAGTGACTCTTTGTGTCCCTTCTTGACACAGGGACCGTTTTATGCTGTCAAACAAACAATATTCTGCAGAATTGCTGTTCCGACAGAACAGCAACCCCTGCTGGCCGTAAACCCCCCCAAGGCTTTTCACGAAATTTTGTTGCTCCTAGAACCCTCCTGCTAGAGCTGAAACTGTTGCTCCTGCTGATTCCATTGATTCATTAAGGCAGAAGCGAGTCACACAAGGTGAATGCCAGGAAGAAAAGAGGTCTTAAGTGGCACCTGTTCGGCGTTGCTCCTATCGTTCTCTGCGGGGAGGCCCACTAGTCCCGTCGGGGAAATCAAATCGCACAGTTGTAATGAACGAGAGAGGAGACCTGACAGCTCGTCCATGTCCTTAGACACTGCAGACTGTGCAGCCGTTGTCTGCTCAGAACTAGGGTGCCAGCCACCCAACAACGGACCGCGCTGCTGCTCCCCAACCTGGTGCTGGAAGCCTAGCTGCAGTTGATGCTGCTGCAGGGTGTGTTGCAGCTGAGCGTTCTGCAGCTGCAAGGCGTGCAGCTGCTCCTGCTGCTTTCCCAGGTCCTGCTGCTGCTGGCGCATCAGTGCGTCCTCCAACCTCTGCTGGAAGGACTCCTCAAGCAGCGCTGCTACTGAGCAGCAAGCACAGCAACGCACAGTTTACTAAACGTTAGGGTGGGATTTAGGCGTATCCGTAAGTGGGGACCTGTGGAGGGGAGGGGGGGGAAGGCGGTACTCATTCTGAGCAGAGGCCTCCTCGACACTTTGAGAAGAAACAACAGCTGCGGTAGGTTTAGAGAGACGAAGACTCAATAATGGGCGCGATTCTGTTCTTTGTGAAAGGCTTGTGCCCTTAAATGTAAACGCTTAAAGCAGCTTTGCGCTGCTGCTTACTGGATCCATTTTTAGCAGCGATATCTAAAAGGGAGGCAGCGAGGGTCTGGGGATCTTCCTGTCGAGTAGAACCCCCGAGGAGTTGCTCTTGTGGCAATAGCGTGTTATGTCGATCTAGGATGACATTTTCTAGCATTAGCGCCTCCTCGTATGCCTCTTCTGTTTTTATCCGCACTTTCAGACGCTTGCCGTTCACCTAAGGCGAAACAACACATAAGGACCGGCGGCCTTGAATAGCAGGCTTCTACTAGTCCTCAGAGAGCAACGAGATGGATACAGAAATTCGCTAGATGGAAGAAGCCAGAGGTGCCGAGGAAAAAACGGCAAATTGGAGAGGAACACATCATGCACATGTAAAGAGAGAATTGCTAGGAAGTGGATACCTTAGCCTGAATGAAACCACTTCTTCAGAAGATACGGCGGCGTGTATATATATACCTGATATCCATCCATGATGCTGACGGCTGCAATGGCTGAGTTGACATCCTGGTAGTCGACAAATGCGAAACCTCTGTTTCTTCTCGTGTGTCTGTCCACTGCAATCTTGGCACTTCTAAGGGCGCCGAAGGGAGAAAAGTGTCGCAGCAAATCATCCCCTGTCCATTCATTTGGAATGTGCAAGATAAACAGATTCGCACCAGGAGGCCCATGCGACTTTTCCTCGTGACAAAGACGAGACTCTGTGCCCTCATAAGACTCAGAGGGGACTGCGGGGGAGCCCACACCATTCCCAGTCTCCACATCAAGACCGGGACGGTTAGCAAGCAGCAGGGAGGGAAGAAGAGTTGACTCCAGACCTCGATTCTGCACACACACAGCCAAATCCTCTTCCCTAGGCTTGCATCCGAGGTTCAAAGAAAAAGGGCGCACTCACGGAATTTCCGCAAGATCCGAATATTCATACGCGCAGCTGAGTACCTTATGTGGAGCAATCCAATTGCTGAAGTCAGCGGGTCTGTCGAGAATGGCTCTTTCACTTAGAATGGTCAGGTCAAGAGAGACGCGACAGCTTACAGGTGAAATCGATCCTTCGAGAGGCATGTGTTCTGTCTTCCCAGAATTCGTCTGTTGCGGGAAGCCCAGCGCTTCTCCTGCCAGAGATAAGAGCTCCTCCCATGGCTCTGCTTCAAGCCACGCGTCTCCTGTAGTGCTTTCGGGGACCCCCTGTCTCGCTGAAGCTGAGAGGGTTTCCCTGTCTAGATTCTCACTGGGAGCTTCAGGCAGTGCATGCAACCCCGATCCGGTAGCAACAGTGTTGGATGCTGGTTGGCGCCGTCTTGCAGCCGCGAAGCGAACTTCCAGTCCACGAGCAACATCTGAAACGACCCGGAGACACAGTGGCAATCCCCGGATGTAACTAACTGCAGTCAGGAATGGGTGATAAGAAGCAACAGGTGAGAGAGAAAGGTATCAAAAAACACGCAGAAAATGGCTGTAAGTAAGGAACACCGATTGGGAGGAGGAAGAGGAGCGGCAAAAAGCTTCTGGAGTTGCTCTTTTCTTATGTGGACCGGTATGGGCTCATGGCTTTCAAACTGACTCGGCATGACATATCTCCCTGCTAGGCTTGAAATCGCGTGTAGCGCCTGCTCTTTGTATGCAAATCGCACAAATGCCGAGCCGCTTGGACCCTTTTTCGGTCTACTACCGCTGTCCCCATTGTTATGGCGTAGCAGGAAGACTTCCTGCACGGAGCCATACTGCTCGAAGAGAGCCCGTACCTAAGCACAAGTGCCACCCCCAAAAAAAGCTCGTCTTGATAATAAATAGCCACGCGAAGTGAACGCACGAACTGCAAGAGGAATGCGCTGCACCGCCCGAGGATAAGCATCCTACAAGGACACGAGACAGCTCTTCGACGCGTTTGCAGAACTTTCTCAGGCTCTATTTCGATACACCGCAGACTTTACGCCTGCTAAAGAAAAGGGCAGATTTGAAGACGAAGAACAGGGGGCGAAACGAAGCGACACAAACAAAACAGACACTAATGGGGCTGCATCGAACGTAATGGACTCTGAGCAAAAGCAGAAGACTCCAGCCGCTGCACTATATATATGTATATAGAGTACCTCGTGTTCTTTGACATCTTTGGGGAGAGACCCCACGAAGAGTTTTGCTTCATCAACGCCAGGCATAGCGCCCCCGCCATAGCCGCAGGAAGGGAACCCGAGTCGCTCAGCCTCTCCCGCGGCGTAGCGGACGGACAGCGAATCGAGAGGCTGCGCAATTCAAGAGGATAACATCAGAAATCGACCCTCTTCTGGAGCCATGGAGAGACAAGCGCTGAGCGGCAGGGTGACTGGAGAGAGGCACAGACACAGTAGGAACAGTCCGATATGGACCAGGCAAAACAAAAAGGAAGGGGAAAAGCACGAAAGCGAGAAAATAAGGGAAAAGATGTATCAGGCGGCAGAGAATCGAGAGAGAGGGAGAGAGAAAATAGGAAGATAGAAATACAGAAAGTAGAGACTTACAGGCCCCAGGTTCTGGGTTCTGCCGAGTTCTCTAATGGCTCTGTCAGCATCTGTTAAGGATCGCATGCGGACGAAGGCGCAGTTCCTGTGCCTATTGGAGACTTTGTCCCTCAAGACGACCACTTCCGTGACAGATCCAAACAAGCTGAACAGCTAAAAGGAAGGCAGAGCAGCACGGCGGGGGAAAGAAAGGAATAAGCAAACCGAGGGCAAGCGTACAGGAAAAAGCCTGGCAGATGACGAGGAGCATACAGACGCTGTGTAGGGAAAGATGGACTCTACTCTACTGTGGCGCTGGAGTGTGCGAGTTCTCTCCCTCTCAGGCTCTTTGTGAGCCGATGAAAAGTTCAGCACTGCGTGAAGAAGAAGCAAACTCGAAGGCGCCAAGTCAGAAGCCCCCTGCAAACCCCTCGCCGCTCACTATTCGCAGAGCTATTTCGTCTACACTTGGAGGCAGTCCCCCTACAAAGAGCTTGATCTGCACGGGAGGCGCTGGCGCAGCCAATCCTGGAGCCTCAGAGCTACGTGACCGAGGATTGGAGTCTGTTTTCCTCAACTCGATAGGAGGCGGAGGTGGAATGAATGGTGATGATGGGAAAACGCCGGGTGTACGTACGCGGGAAAGCGGCGCCTTCTCATGAACATTCCCAGCTGCCAGCTGCTTGTTGAGTTCCGTTACCTTCCCTCCTACTAGGGGAGCACCGAGAATGGGGAGACTACGACGCTCATTCCCATTAGAGGCTCCTGCCCCTCCCGCTTTGAGGCTAAGGCAGAAGTCTAGGCCCGGCGGAGTGAGGCCGAGGAGTGAGGAGACAGTAGAAGGATTGTTTCCTCCCTCGTGACTCATCTCCGCAAGTAACAGCTGCCGTATCCGTGTGCAGTAAGGTTATTATGCACGGTTGTAGTCATACAAAATGGAAAACACGAAAAGGACCTGATGCGTGGTGGTAGGCAAGGCCTCCCCGTTTTCGCACTGAGCTGCTGAGGCGTGGATTTGGTTTGTTGCGAGAGAGAACACAGTGCCGGGGAAGCTCTCTTCAGTGCCAAAGAAAAAGGGCAGAATTCTGTCCACCTCACGCACAATGTTTCATCAGACAGAACACTTTATGGGCAGTCTGAGGCCCCACTGGCAGAAGTGGCGAAGGAGGAGGGTTGCAGGGAGAGAACGGCTGTAAAAGGGGAGGAACAGGGGGTGAAGAGTGGAAAGATACTACAATATTAACACATATAGACAAGCATGAAGACCATGCAGGCAGGCAGGCTGTTGTTGTTGAATAAGGCGACAACGCGGATATGGAGGAGGGGGCCCAGTCAGCAACGTGTAGCAAACAGCAAATATTGATAGCTACCTTTGACAATGCCGTCCAAGTTGAATCAGCCTTCAGGAGCAACACAGCTGAGGCCGTCAAGGGACGAAAAGGGGATCTTTGGCGTCTCAGCAAGCAATACCAGAGGACGAATCCTGATAAGCGGGGGGCACATATATAGGAGCGCTGCAGCCCCTGGCTGGGAGAAAGAACCTGCCGTGTGGAGGCACCAGAAAGAAAAGGAAGCCTCGCAAAAGGACTTCGAAGCCTCGGTAAGATAAGATACTAAGCGCTGCCGCGATAGGCAACACGGATTGGAACCAGCGGGGTGCCAGAGGGAAGCAGAAATGAGGAAGAACGAGAAACGGGGGGGACACAGGGAAAGGGCCCTGGCTGTTTAGCAGCTTTCTGAGGGCTTCGTGGCATTGCAATGCAGCGACATAGAGAGGTTTTTTCAAGCTTAGGAAGAAGAAGGCGGGTTGAATCACACCCAGGGTCAAACAAGAGGTCCCTCTGACAGCGGTAGAAGAATGAGAGCGAGGGGCAGTTTGGGGGGATTCTCTCCGTGTTGTTCAAGGGCCCAAAGGGAGCGTACGCGGCGTCTCCTTTAGACTTCAGGGGACGCAGAAAGTGTGCTAGGACGCCCCTATTCGAGGCGGCAAAAACTGCTAGGCACACAGAGAAAGTAATCTTCTTTTCTATACAGATAGGGCCCTCCTTTGTCCCCTTTTATATCCTCCAAGTAAAACGATTCTCTTGGTAGCTCCCTTTGGTGTCGAAGAAAAGAGGCACAGAAAGAGCGAGGGCTAATGGCCAAAGTGGGAGCAACAGGAGAGGGAGCGGCAGGCTGCCCGCACCCTAATTGGATCAGGGGAACGACAAATGCAGCTTGAGCCCTTTTAGGATCTCTCTCTCATTTACTTTCATATATAAACACTTGAAGAAGAAGTGGGGAAGGACGGAGTTCCGGCGCAGCAGCGGGGCGGGAACTGCGGCTTAGAGCCGGTGCACTGTGGGTCTCCTTAGGCAGCCCCTTCTAGTGGGACACTCAGATCTGTCTCCTGATTTGCAAAGAGGCTTTTCATCTTATGGAAAGTCATTGAAACTTATTAAGGCATCAATAAGCTTGAGGTTCCTGGCACAGGAAGTCAATGGGTCTTAGTTCAGCTAGTGATTGTTCATGGTTTGCTTCCCTCGGATGCCAAATTCCTCCAAACGCAACCGCTCAGTCCCTCCGATGATTTTCCTGTGGGGGCCCCAGGTCCCCAGTTCTTGATTGATTCAATTGGAATCATCAGCTTAAGTTGTATTTTTTTGGCTAAGAGAGATTGGTGGTACTCCCGGCTCAGAGAGTGCAGGAAGCAGCAGTCGCATTGGTCTCCCATATTGTGGACCTGCCGTAAATTCAGCTACACGAAGTTGGAATAGACATTCGTTAAGAAGGCACTAGAAACGTGAGTAGGGGAATTCCCAGGTTTCATTACAATACACTTTGTAGAGGGCAGAGATATGTTTAATAGGAAGTCAAAGAGCAGAGGCATCCTCTTGTTCTCGAGCAGGGAGACGCAGCGGCGCCGTGCGACCTCCCCCTGGCAGGCCACGCTGCACCCACCCCATGAAGATGATGCATGCAGAGAAGAGTGACAAGCTACTCCATGCGATATGCTTTGCCTTTACGCCAAAAATGCCATTATTTGTTGTATATTGACAGGCAGAGTCCGCCTGTGTGCAACAAGCGGGCGAGCTGGGGAGCGAGCGAGCCTATCGATCATACCGCCGTGCACCGGACACTGTGCTGGTAGGGGGATTACCCATCGGGAAGGCACAAAATCCCGTTTTGACGATTCTCCATATTTCATCGCTATTAGGTAATATTTTTAGCAATATGGTATGGCATGAATGCAATATAAGGGCGTTTCATTCAGTCACCCCTGAGTGTCGCCAGGATCGATGATAGCCAAATGGGCAGGTGAACTGCATTCAGAAAATGCCGGGAGAAGGGGGGGAAACTTGTTATAGAACAATACCGACTACATTGTCGTGAACTGCTCATTGTTCACTACTCGAGCAATACACTCCGTAGTGAAATGGACCGACGGGCGCATGGCGCGACAGTCCTTTTTAACGCTCTCCATAAGGAAACCCGCAATCAAATGCGAAGTAAGAGTTGAGGAATATTGTTTTTTTTCGTTTCCCCAAGAGATGCGCCCCCTCCTTGCCCTCAGCATACTGGGTCCTGTCACTGGGTAACGGCCGAGCGCGCGGCTCGCCTTTCGGGGATTGCAACATCGCTGCCCTCTAGGTTTTCGCACATGCGATCTATTCTTCTAGCCTGAATCTAGCCTCGCACCACAAATGAGACGGATTATCAGCCGTGCGGAGACGCTCCATCTAGGGCCTCAGTAGAGGAAGGCATCTAACTCCAGACTCGATACAAACTAGATAGGAAGTCATTGGGTGTTCCTCAGAATAAATGTCACCCTCCGTTGCCGGCGCCACTTCGAGAGTGTGACATGAGTGGAGAAGGATAGACACTTTTCCGCGTGGCTGTACTTCTCTAGGCCCGCCGAGCGTTCGCAGGTATTTGCATATAGCACCTGGTTTACATGCAGACATGGATCCTTCTTGAATCAAGGTACAATAACTCTGCAACAGATTAAAGACATGAACAAAACAAGCTAATTAATCAGTTCCTGACAATTTCTTTGTGAATAAAACTAGAGTCTTAGAAAGTGGAACTTAGTGTACTACACGTGTCGTCAGGTCGTAAAGCTGAATTGAGACTAAGGGATTTGGTGGCAACTGCCAACGGGCACCTCGGCTGACTGCAAAGGAATCCGGTTGATACACAAAGAGTCGACCTGATCCGGCCTAAGAGCAGGCTGCACTGGGAGCGTGCTCTCCAAGCAGAGTCATCGCCATTCAGCCTCCTTCGTAAGATCGTGGTCAACCCTCCTTCTCCCGGAGTTACTAACAACTCTAAAGGCTCAATTATTCCTGTGTTTTCAACTTCCTCAAAGTTGGGATATTTTCGCCTCTGCATGGTTTACGCTACTGCCTGGGGAAGTGTGGTCTACAGCCTCACGGTTACTCTGTTCTATTAGTGGGTGCGACAGGTTGCAGAAGCGGCTTCATCTGCCCTCAGCGGTATCCGGTGTAACTATGCAACTTAAAAATTCACGCAAACCCCATGTTTAACAAACAAAGTTCGCTAAAGCTTCAATACAATTCGCAAAATCCACTAGGTATATTGATACGGGTTCAGATATGGTTGCCTTCCTCCGCACATCCAGCCAAGCACATGCAGCAGTTACGCCCACATACACGGATTCGCACACTCACCGGTTCATTCCATTGAGCCTATGTTTTCGAGGGCACGTGTGGTAAAGGTCGGCATGGCTCTGTACACATGGCTAGCAAGTGCCTAGACAGTTGGGTCTCCGCAAGTAGATGTGCGTATGCATGCACATTACTATACACATTCATCCATGCAAGCGTGTGTGCATGCACGACACTTATGAAAGGATGCGTAAGTGCCAAGTTTCGTTTCCGAATAGCGGCCGTGGCAAAAAACGACGAGGGACTGACTACATCCCAATATTTGCTGATGCCTAGCACCCCTCCTCAACAAAAGCTTTCAACAAGCATACAGGAGGATTAAGGCCTTCTTCGCTTCTGATGCAGTGGATAAAATCCCCCACTGAAGGGTCATGAGTATCCCTTCCCGGCTCTACAAATCCGCAGCTGCCCCAACGTGCATATATGACGCCAAAACAACCACATAAAATAGCAGAGAGAACCTGGTCCAGAACCTTTCCTCTCTTAATACTGCTAGGCCTATTTATCGAGAGAACACCAGTGCAGCTACCAATGAGACCCGGCTCGACACTGCTGAGGTGTACATGCACCTCAGAGCTCTATGGGTGCCTTTTCGTGTAAGGCGAAAAGCTTCGCTTGCAACCAAAGTTTTCCTGCCAGAAGCTGGGGATCCTGTTTATGGACAGGCCCCTGAAGGGGCGGCAGTAGAGCCTCGACTGCGCGGTTGATGAGCTGCCTTTCTTTCTCTGGGGACAGCATCAAACGTCGCAGGGCAGGCAGAACGCCAGCCTCCTCCTTCCATGATAAGCCACGAAGCAGCTGCGCCTTTTGACCAGAGTTCTCGCACTGCATGGATGCAGCAAGATGCTCTGCATCGCGTAACAACGACATCCCGGCACGGCTCAAACAAACGGGTTCCTTAGTAGGGAGTCCTGCTGCAGGGGCCTCTTCTGCTTGGCCCTTTGTGGTCATGATGGAAGCTGCTTGCAGTTCATTCGATCGTGGAGCACCTCGAACCACGGTAGCTGGCTGCAGCAGTCAAAGCGCTGAGATCAGGGGAAATCGGTGAGCGTATAGTCCGTATTCCTATGGGGCCCTCTTTAGGGGCAGGTGGACCCCTCCACCACCTATCTTGCCAGGGATGGCGCCTAGAACCCCCTGGTAGGATACTCAGGCCGGTAGGCTGTATTTGTAGCCTTCGTGCGGGGCGACCTACTTAGGATTACGGCTACGATCTGAAGTACGTGCCCAATGGTGGCGCAAGGAAAGCCTTCGGAAGATGCGCGAAGGGCTCAACGAAAAGATGTGAATGCACGGGTTCCTTTGAGTGCGGAAATTGAGACGGAGTGGGACGGCAGTTTGCAGAGGGTCCATACACCGGAACGCACGGCCGGCAATGGTGAAGCAAAAGTCCACTGTAACAGTGCCGGAAAAATTCGTGTTGGTCCCTCTGCACTCTTAATAAGCTAAAGTGAACGTATTTCCTGTTAGTTCTATAGCAAGGAAGGGCAGGGGAGTAACAGCGGCGATTCGGCTGCCTCTGCAGCGGTTGGAGCGTCTTCTGCTACTGTCAGTCTCGCGCTCATGCTGCTGCTGTTGTAGTTGCTTGCGTTGTTTTTCTTTGCTGTTTTACCATTTACATGTGATCCTCACTTGCCACCGGTGTTGCGTACCTTCTGCTACGTTTAAAGGACAGTTAGCCGGTATACCTTGAGGCGACTACTAGCAGAACTGTTGGAGCCACTGTCACTGCCCCGGCTCAACGCAACGCAGACGAGTGTCTGTGCGGCCATTGGCGCAGTCTCTGCCTTTCTTGTAAGGCGCAAAACTCGGAGCACCTGCTCGCCGTGTTGACAGCAGCTGTGGCAGCAGCAGTTGGTGGCAGCAGCAGTCTCAACAGAGGACTTTGCAATAACGGCCAAACCGGGAACGACACCATCGAAAGCACAATTGAACGGGGCCAGCGCTGCAGCGCAGCTATAGAGGGGCTTTCAACAGATGCCCTTTCCCGTCAGAGCGCCACCACACCCGACACGCGCACGACACCCCCTTGTATCGAAAAAGCCTCGAGGTCTTTTGGGAGCCATCTAGCCCATACACATTATCTCACAGGCCACATGGATTTGAAGAAAGCGTAGAGGGTGAAGTGTTCGAGAGGAAGCCCTCGAAGGAGCCAGGAAGACAACGGAGAAGCGTCTATTGCAGCAATCAAGAGGTGGACAGACCTGCTGCTGCATCGCGGTATACTCCGAATTTTTGCCGGAGACAATGTCGTTCTTTACATCAAGCTCGATGGACAAACTGGGGTCTCGTTTGGCCTCCTTGGTGTCCTCCGCCTCGGAGAAAGTCAAAGAGGCGGCAGAGCGCACGTGAGCTTTTTGGAAAGACAACATCTTACGATCTGGCATATAGAGGCAAAGGACAGCTAACGGCTATAAGGTGGTGCATGCGTCTCATAAAATATAAAAGATCCGCTTTTTAAGGGTCTCATCGCAGACACTTTTCTGTGGCTGTTGTACTGTTGTCGGAGTGTACAGACTCACCAATACATGCATTGCCGCACTCCACCCGTATATACACAATCAGAATCTCAGAAGACTCACTTACAACCCCTTCAAATCTCAAGTCCGTGTATGTGACTGCTATGGGACTGTCTCAGCATAACCAAGGAAACTCCACTGGAGAAGAATCTGCGGGAGGCATTGAGCGACAAGAACTGGGGTTGCGCGACTTCTATCTTGTCAGAGATTGCTAGAGCTTCCTACAACTAGTAAGATGCTGAGTCTTACTCGTTCAGCGCTGCCACTTATGAATGCTTTCTCTGCGCCACCTTTCTTTGCAAGGCTTGCAATCTGTGGTCTCCTGCTCTCCCTCCCTACAACCCTCTCAGTCCCCTTGTGGACCCCCCGTAAACCGTGTTTGCCACCCCATCTCCGCATTTTCCTGCAAGCTTTTTGTTCCTTGTTTGTGTAGCTCCGACTGTGTTTCCATATCCAAGACGATGTGGGATGCCATAGGAGAGCCTCCAAAGCGGTGGCGCAGGATATTTAAAGTGAGAGATATTTGTGATTGGCGAGATAGATGGGCGCGTCAGGCCCTGCTGCCCGCCCTTTGGGTGTCCATACACCTGAACCAGCCACCAACAGATACCGAAAGAGCACTTAGATCACTAGGATCTCTATTTGTTCGCGGCGGGGTAACACAGACAGCAGCCTCGTCATGCGTTAGAATTTGTGCCTAAGGGTGGTGCTGTGCGTCTTCAGGGTCTGACAATGTTGGAATATATGCTTAAGAACGGTACAGAAAAGTTTGCAGAAGAGGCGAGAGACAGGAGTTATCTCCTTCGGACTCTTCAGAGTCTCAGTTGGTCAGAGGAAGGAAGAGACAAGGGCGCAGGCAGTGAGACATGCCGGTGCTTGCTTTCATAGCTGTCTTATCGGATGGCAAGGCCCTTTAAAAAGCCATGTGGCATCCAGTGCCCTCTTGTGGGTGCTTTCTCTGTTTGTTTCTGTTTCGTGTGTTAAATATCGTCTGGTGATGTCCCCTGAAATTCGGTTTCTTTTTACTCCTTGTGCTTTTGAACCCGGCGTGTCTCCTCATGATCCACTCTTTCCCGTCTCACATGTTTCTGTTGTGCTCTCTGAGATGCGTTTGCTGCCATTATGAGTCTTACCACGCGTACCGTAGCTGCTCCTTTAGCGTAAGGGGGAGCAGCAGCTGCTGGAGCCTTAGCAGTAGCGGCATAAGCAGCAGCACCGCGTCTTGTGCGCTTCAGTTCGGGAGAAGGCAGGGATCTGCACCACTCTAGTATTTGATGCCGCAGAATTGAAGGCAGCACGAGAAGAAGCGGCCAAGAATCGAGACAAATACATCGGCATCTCCTCAGCTTCCTCCATGGCATGCCGCAGTAGCAGCAGGGGCCACACTGCAGCAACCGGACTGGGGAGCGACAGCCGTTATTCTTCAAACAGAGATCCGTACGAGCGTCGCACAGCTTCCTTAGAGGAGAGCATGGGGTTAGGATTAGCGAAACTTCACCAAATCGTCAAGACAAAGAATTAGGATTCTTTCGGATTGCTTTGTGCTTCAGGTCCAGTCGCAACAGTCGAGGTGAGGAGAGTACTCCGCGCGTTGCAGATGTGCCGTCTTCTGCGAACAAAGAGAAGCACAGAGCCTCCGGAAAAAAAGAAGGAGCAAAGAAGAGTGACGCAGCCTCTCCAGAAAACTCGAAGGCCTCTCCCGTGGCAAAGTCTCGGGTGTACGTACACCCGAAGTCCTACACCGTCAAAACACGCCACCCCCAATGGCTCCATCCATGGATTCAAAAGCTTAGGGTCTCCTGTGTGTCTCAAGGAATCTTCTTCAGCTCTGTGGCATGTGTGAAAACAACGAAACGCTGATAGTGTCGTATCACCGTTTTGACGGATGTTGCGATCTGCAGGCAACAGGCAGATCTTCTAGGATTCGACAGTCCGCCTATTGGCACGCAGGCGACTTCCGTGGAGGCCTCTTCCTTCGCGTCAGGTAAGGCTTTTTTCCTTCCCATTTTGTTGCTTTCAAATGGGGGTGTGGTTGCCGTACAGAGAGAGCCGGACTCCTCTCTTCTTAGCCTTCATGCCTCTAGAGTGCAACTGGATGTTTACGTAGCTGTGTCAGTTACTGTTTATCACTACTGCCTCTGCATATGTCACTTCGCGCTGTCACGATCCCCTGTACTTAATGCACCGCGTCCCTTGTTTCTCCCGGATGCAGGAAACGTCTGGTGCGAAGCTCCAGCTGCTGCTGGGGATCTTTCGCTGGACTCGGCTTATAACTTTGAGGCCTTTCTGCCTCCCCCTCCCCCCGGCGCAGGAGCTCCTAGTGGGCCCCCCCCCCCCGCGGAGCTTCCTGGAGCCCCTCGGACTACTGGGGATATTGGATCAGATGATCTGTTTGGATGCTTTCAAGCAGCTAGTCCTCCCACAACGACGGGAATGTCAGGCAGCAGCAACCCACTAGATGCAGTGGCTGCTGCATTTGCTGCTCCTGCATCGCCTCCTGCAACAGCAGGCTGGACCAGTGGTTAGTGTGCTTGAATGATATTGCAGCAGCCTTTGTGCTTGCTGGCATGCTGGATAAGTTGTGATTCTCTTCGTTTGCAAGTCATTTCTCGCCTCCATCCACTGCGGTTGCTGCTAGGAACCACTTTTTGCTGTCGCGGATAATTCATGGTATCTCGAGCATGCTCGAGTTCCCCTTTTCCACAGCTGCTGTATGTATGTATGCTTATCTGTGTGTATATGTGTGTGTGTGTGATAGGTACGTCTACGGGGGGTAAAGGCCTCGGCACATCTTCTCATGATGCCTTACAGGGCCTCCAGCAACTCAACACAGGTTTGTGGTCGTTTCTCTCACACCTACCTAAACGGGGTGGACTGGCTAGGAAGAAGGCTTCATGAATCTCTTTGCAGAAGCCTTTCTTGATTAACCCTCCCACTCTCAGGTTGGCGTTTTGTGAGGTCACTATAGTTGCGTTTGTGCTGTTGTGTGTAATAGAACCCCCTACCAACACGCCGGCGCTCTTCACGCTTGCAAAGCCCTCCCCTACCCCTGCTGCTGCACCACAGTGGCAGCAGCCGTTCACAATGGGAAACAGGAGCAATCATAATGCTACCAACAGCATCAATGCGTTACCGGATCCATTCAGTGTCAGCAGCAGCGGCACGACGTCGCAAACTTTCACCATGGGCACCAGCAGTAGCAAGCAGCAGCATGCAACGGGAGCTAGACATTTAGCTTCACGCCCCTTAGCCGTGGTTGGAACTGCAACGCAGCCTTGGCAGCAACAGGCGGCTGCTGGCAGCTTCGCGTCTTTGGAGCCTGGCCTTTTCTAGGGCTGTAGCACTAGCCAGCGCGCACACGCGTATCTTCACGCATGAAAGAAAAACTCGCGCGCTGCTGCTTTTTTTACATGGGTGTAAGCCGCTTCCTTCTCCACCCTCTGCTCTGGCGCATCAGGCGCAGTAGTCCAGCCCCTCGGGTGCAGAAATTTTCTCTTCATGTTGCACGCAGAGGTCTTTTTCCACACGGCAATGTAGTAGAGGCCACGAATTAGTTTACGGTTCGTCACTGTTTAGCTTGTACGTATTAACTTTAAAGAATACCAAAAATATGAACCAAATGGCCTCGAAGCTATCCCCAGACATAATTAACAGCGCAGCCTCTTCCTCCAATCCCTCTGAAGCTGGACTTGCCCCTCGGTCTCTGCATTTGGGTTTAGTTCTCGGTGGGCCAGAAAAATCCGCAACACGAAGTCGTAAACAATTGAAAGATACGTTATTGTTTGAGAGAAAGTTGCACAAACCCCGACCTCACCAGCAATTGTAGCCTGCAGTGAGGAGGGAGCAGTACTCTGCTGCGTGCTGCCGTTGCTTCAGCAGAGCTCATATACTGCAGTCTATCTGCTTCCTCCCCTACTCTCGTTAAAGGGGGACAAAATGCTGCTAGAGCTGTGTAGATAACCGTGACAGCAGCATGCACCATTTCAACGGGGAACGGCGTCGTTCGCTCACGAGTAGAGAAGGACTGCGCTCATCATGACGCAAATGATGCCGAGAAACTCGAGAAAGCCCATACCAATGAGGGTGTATGTGAAGAGGTCCTCCTTGATAGAAGGGTTCCTTGCAGTGCCCGACACCAGAGCAGCAAAGAGGGAGCCAATGCCTTGTGCTACACCTCCAACAGACATCAACGCAACGGCAGCGGACAGCGTTGCTACGCCTGCCTCGTGGCGCACGGCGCCGTAAGGCGAGAGGACGGCAGATGGCTGAGCATACACAATAAAAGCAGCACATCCATGCTCCCGGATACATACGCAAGGAGAAAATTTGAAACGAACCAGAGGGGGGAGGAGGTATGTGGCAGCATGTCTGGCCGTCAGCACGACGCCACGAAAAAGCATAATGACAGAGCCGCCACAGCTTCTTCGTAATAATAAGGTATATTCAGGTGGTAAGCTATATGTCTGTTGCAAGAAGGGGTGGTCGCTTAAAACTAATAACAACCTTGCTCCAGAAGGCATGGCCCTCCATTAGGGGGGCGGGCCATGCACCCAACTCCCCTTTGTTTCCTCCTATTTGAACCACGGGGATGAAGAGTTTGTACTTTGTCATATTTACGGGAATAGTTTCAAGGTAAAGTTAGATACTTACGCCTGTGGCTGCGGGCAGGAGGGCACTTGCAGGGAGGCGGGTGCCGGGGGTCTGGATGGCGGCGCTATGCCTCTGCAGAAGAGGAGCAGTGCTGAGGGAACGGATTGCAAGAAAAGGGGAAATAACCCCACATAAACCTCCGCTGGCAGCAGACAACTGGGGAACAGCAAGGCCAAAGGCCCTGCGACACGCAGCAGGGCGGAGCATCATCATGCCCCTCGCCGCTGCCGCACCAAAGAACGTCATTTTGAACTCCTAAGAGGAACTGTCGTTACAGGTGGAGAATCACGTGCCCCCAATTCGGCCCGAAAACACTGGAAAACCTATAAAATGATGCACGAGAGCAGAAACAACAACAGAGGTCCGCAAGAGGCTGGCAGCACCGGCAGCCCCACACACCCCCAGCGAGGAAGTTCGGTCCTTTTCCCTCAAAACTGTTTGCTTGCTGCCTTATCCTAGCAGGAAGAAGAAACAGCACTAGTTGTCAGCACACTAGCAACTGTTTCGATGAGCCAATGGCATATGATATTGATGAGAAAAAATACACATTTGCTGTTTTTGTTCCATCTTACATGGAGACAGACACGCTAATGCCATAGGCGACAGCGGGGAATTGCAGCAACACAAAACATATTCTCTGTCTCCTTAAAGTTCCACTTAAATCCGGCAGTCATACTGCTTCGTTTTGATCTGGGTACCTGTATGCACGTCGTGGGGGCAACGGTTCAGAGAATCCATTCGCAGTCAGCACATAGCAAGCGCCACATAGCAACAAAACTACACAGTACGGTGTTGAACAGGAAGCGGGCATGTTGCTCAAATCCCATGGACTCATTGTTATTCAGGTCCACAACTAGATCTTGTTTGGACAACTTCTATAAGCTTAGAGAGCTTTATAAATTTGAAAGGGGTGAATTCGTGCATCGAGTAGTGGGCGGAGCTAGTAACGCTATCTGTGCGGTCCGTATAGCGGGCTAAGTTACATTTCACCTCCTTCTGCAACACTAGTTATATATGACGAAGGGTGATTAAATAATTGGCTAATTGGTGTGTATGCTTGTGTGTTCTTTGTTGCAGGGTATCGTTCGCTCGAAACAAGATGCCACGTATGCATGTGTGCCAGATACTATTTGCAGTTATGCTTGAGTGCTCGTAGTGCTTTGGAGGTGCAGATAAACGCAACGTATCTATCCCGCTCTCCTTGCATTGGGACTTTTGGAGGGCTCGGGCAGGTAAAGGAGGGAGCTTATGGAAAAAAATTGTTGCAGCCGTCCATCTTATAGACACGTAACTCCTGACTCAATACGAACTTTGATAAAGTTGTTAAGTTCTTTCTAAAAACAGGGTTACCCGCAACTGCTGCTCGGTCAATCGCTAAGGTTGGCGCTCCTCACCCGGATTAAGTAAAATCTCCCGTCTAGAGTGTCGTCAGCGCTATGAGTCCCCAAATTCAGGAATTGCCTGGCTCACTATGGATTGTCTGCCCTCACACGGGCCACTGGCCTGCGCGGCGAAAGCAGAGATCATGTAGGAATCTCTAGGTTTCTTTGTGGAGGCTGTGGAACATCCAACTTTGGGGGAATCGATACAGTAAGAAAGAAAATTGACCTGAAATGGCAAATATTTGTAGCTGCCTGGCCGTCAATTTCTTTGTCTGGTGACCTCGTGCAACTTCTACAACCTGCTGATCCACCGGAATTTACTCTCCAGGCTCAAAGCACAATGCGGACTGCCGCTTGACATATTTCCGTCCCTGTCTCACTTGATATTTACGCATACATCCAAGTGCACTAGCCAACTGGTCTATCGATTTTCTGCTGCTAAGGGCGGCTGCAAACTCCGAACCACTAGTTCCAAGCCCTGATTGTAGAGGGACTTTAAAGTCTAGACCAGGAAAGCGGCACATCCGAGATAATCGTGACCATAGATGCAAGCGAACAGAGGATAGACGAGCTTATTGTTTGCAGTACGCTGGGTAGCTATCCCGGTGCTCCTGGTGGCCTGGGATGCGTCTCGCGGCGAATGAGTATGCACTGTCACGCCCGAACTGCCAGCTGCGGTACCAGTATGCAGTTTTATTGTACTTGTTGAGCGGGGGAAAATAAATCCAAGCAATTAAAACTTGATGATTACAGAGTCACAAACAAGTGCAGACGAGTGCAGTTGGTGTGCTCTGTCTGGCCAAGTGCCTCATGGTGCTGCACAGTGGTCATATCATGCTCAGCATGTAAGCTGGTAAAACACCAGAATGCAATGACAGGCCTAAAATCCATATATGTAGTGATAGTCGTGTTAGATCTTGCAGATCTTATTTCAAAAAAATTGGCTGACCAGGTGAGCAGTGACAGCTAGAGCAAGGAACGCAATGTAAAGTCAGTAAACAACGATGTAGATGATGTCCTCATTTTTTACCTCCGGTAGTCCAAAAATAACTTAACAGCCATGTCAGTCAAAATCCATTCAGGAGCCAGAAGTTTTTCGCAAGGAGCCAGGGTTTAATTGTTGCGGCTTCAGCTGGTGACTATCTGGGCATGACGGCAAATACTTCGTCACCATTGGACACATGCCAATTACCATAAGGATTGTGAAAACTATTTTATCGTAGTTTGAACCGCAGGCTCACTCCAAAGCCATAATCACGCACCTTGTGCAAAAGAACCTAGGGGAACAACGTCGGGATGAACGAATGCCGGAGTCTCCGCTTTGTTTTGAACCCCAGCAGGCATCTTCAACGTGGTAGATCTTCACTCTTTTTGCATTCTAGAGTTTGGAAGGAAGAGCCGAGGGAAGCCCACCAAACGAGTAAGAGCAAGCAGTTTCATGTGATACAATAGATGACCACGTACAAGAGCGGTTAAGGTGCACAATAGTCAATACCTCGGGCGTTTCGTGGGCGCGTCGGCAGCCACGTTCGTGAAGCCTTCAAAATACTTCATTGCAAAGCACTGCAGGCGGCACCCATGCCAGAAACTCCAAAAGGACCGATGGTCTGTTTGTGCAGTAAAAGAATCCTATTTACGAAGCAGCAACATTTTTCTTCGGCCCACTTCACCGCATGTGATCTCTTCCCCCGCACCGGATACCGCACCTCGGTTGTGGTGAATCCATGAGAGTAACAATCAACAAAGTGATGCTTCGAAGAACCGGCGGCCTTCTAGAAAAAAGGAACACCCATTGTTACGTCACAAGTGTCGGGTGCTAACAAGAATTGATGATCATAATCAGGCAGCGCAAGTACGGGAGGGGCTGAAAGTCGGGTGGTAAAGCGTCCTTGCTGCGGCATCAACCTCTTCTGTCCAAGCCATAGACTGCGTCATCTTAAGTAGATCAGTTAACGGTGCAGCGAGCTCAGCAAATCTAAAAATCAATTTCAGTAATAAGATGAAAGTCCATTGAAATTCGTAGGTTTTTTGCAGGTGCATAAAGGTAAAGGCCGCGCCTCTATCGCTGCCAATTTGACAGCTCTCTCTCAAGCCTCGCAGCAAAAACAAGGACTCCCATATAAAACAATGGCCCTTCTGCGAACCGATTCGTCCATGTCTTCGCACACCAGTACTTCCTTGTTAACACCTGAAACGCATGCCTTCCGTGCTGTGGATGCTCTTGTCGATTTCGGGTGAATTGTAAGACGCAGTCCATGGTAGCCCTCCATGAAAAGCTCAAAAACAGTCCCGACTAACCTCTCGTTGGCTCAGCTGCAGCACTACAAGCAGGCATGCAGGTACACTCAAGACAGCGGGGGCGAGCCTGGAATGCCGTTTTGTGCGTGTCACAGTGTTATTTTGGTGTTGTACGAAATACATGCGTGGTGAATTGAAGCCCGCACGCTACCTCTCGACCTTTTCTGGCATCATTATCGGGTTATGCCAAAATGACGCTGTGGAAAATGCACTTTGCCCTTTCCAAACAATCAACGAAATGGCTTTCAATCTCCCTTTTATGCTGTTGAGGCTTCCTACATAGTAGCACATCGCTTTGGCTTATGTGAAAATTAACTCAATACGGTGCGGTGGCCCCCTCGCCGGTGGGCACCCTGCTGATGGTTCATCATTATTCAGCACATCCGCGAACTCCTCCTTCAATTTGCTCAGTTTTTCCGTTTCTCAGCTAATTCCTTAATCAACTCCCATAGTGGGAAATTCATTTAGCACAAGCAATACAACATCCAAGCTCAGAACCGTTTTCTCTTACTGCGCTGCTGAGCCGCCTTTGTAAAGACTCTGCCTCAACTGGTTGAATATCGAAGGACTCAAACCCGCTCTCGACAGGTGGAGCCAGCCTTGTTAAAAAGATAAGGATGGGCTACTTCCCAACATTTCTCGGCACACCAGACTCCACAGCGCCACATGTGCTCGCATGTGCGCCTTCCAATGGGAGACCCGTGGCATCAGTACGATTGCATCATGGTCCACAGGTCAAACAGAGAAGTCACTTCACGTACTGGTAACGCCCAGTTTCTATTGAGAACCTACAACCATTTCCCCCAGCCTTGGCAATCCTTGCGCTCTGCCTGCCCTCAGCATCCGTGAATCGGGCACTTTTCTAAGTAGTGAGTGGGCAGATTGCACTTCGGTGTCGTCTCCTCTGATAAGCCATTCACCACAGCACATCAACAACTCTTGACCGTGATTGTAAGCTTGTGTTAGCGCACAATTGAACAGTGGCTCTACGAAGCTCGACTGCGCCACCAAGAGGCGCCGGATCTCTAGGCCAGGTAGCTGCGCTGCTTTCCTAGTATCTCCCTACACAGATCCTGGCTGCCAAAACAAGCTTGCCATTATAATGAACGATGGAGTCCCGGTCTTCTTCCAAGCCTTTTCGATCACGACCGGGCAGCAAGGGCCTGCGATGCGAGCTGAGAGCGCGTGTGAAAAACCCATGTTAAAAAGCCTCTCCGCTCCAACCTTCTTGAAAGGCCATGCAGGGTCAATCTAAGGAAAGAGTAGCCCTTTTCCCTGTTAAAGAAATTACCGCGAGCACTACAAAGATGCCTCTGGAGTACGGCTGTTTCTGTGCGTTTTCACATACTCTACCGACTGCTGCGCGCCTATATGTCAGAACCAGCAGTAATAACAAGACTATTTGTATCTAGAAGCATTTGAAATTTTTAAAGGGTCAGCCAGATCTGTGCACAGTCAACACTTAACCACTGTCGTCCGGCTGAAAATGATCTCTGCGTGGCCGCTTGCCTGCATGCTAAGTCAAGCCTTAAAAGAAATTAGACATCCACTGGCCCATTAATGTCA